GCACTGAATGCCAGGAGATATGATATCCAATATGAAAAAGACTGGAACTCCCCAGATGGAAAACAGACCAATCCTTAGCTTCATTTCCTTTTTTATAAAATCCTTGTGGTGCTCCTCCCTATGTTAAACCTTCCACACCCAGAATTATGCTGAGTCAATTTACATGGATGTTATTTACACAAACTGACAATAAGCATCACATTGCACTCTGTCCACTTAATAAGCAGGCACATTTCTTTAAACCATAGCATTCCAGTATAAAACCAAGTTCATGGTTACACCTGACATGTTGTAACCACCCTGTGAACAAGTGAAGATTCACTAATTCCCTCTCAAGCATTAACTTTTCATATCTTAAATATGATAATGTAGTTAAAATCCTCATTTCTTTAGCATGATTCTGAGACTTGAGCTTACATTGACATTTCTGAAATTGCTTTGATCTGCCTTCTCTAACCCCCAGTATCTGGCTGAAAGAGGGTAGATCCAAGGTTAATGACAAAGCACAAGGGCAGACACAAGTACAAAAGGGAGGTGCTGATATTACTGTCTCATTGCTATGGATGAGACATAGGCACATGTATTGACATTGTTTTGCAATACACACGCAGACCTCTTTAGAGAAACTGGGCTTAGGAGCTGTTGGATAATCACCCCACAAAGCCAAGTCTGGCTAACCCTGTAACTTCTCCACTTCTGCAAAAGGGAACACATCATTCCCAGAACCAGAAAGTAACTACTTTAAATGTATAGCTGGTCTGGAAAAAATGGAGGAGAATGGGCTCCATTTTGGCAAACAGATGAGATGCTTTTCAAACTTGTCAGCTTTCAGTTTCTCAGATCCAGGTTTAATACAAGCTAAAATATTAACTTGGACTATAGATGAGGATAGGTACATGGTGAGTATAATTGATAATGTGGACTCTGAGAAGGATGGTTTAGATGGAAATGAAAAATCCTGTGGTTGGAGCCTTATGACTTGTGTCTAGAACTCAGTTTTGCATTCTCCAGTGTAGACAGTTGTTTCTGAGAGAAATTATGTGGGCAAGGACCAGGCTAGGATAAATACAGCAGGTCTCTTGAGCTGTATTTGCCTGAAACAGGACAGAAATAGCAGTTTGTGTACTAGATAATATCAAGTATTTTTGAGGCAACTCATGAATTCCTATCTTGCATTGAATTTGATATCCTTTAATAGGGCAGGAAGTTTCTCATGGCTGCTATTCACAATCTAAATCATGTAACAGCTTATGGGAAAGGAGATATGTGTATGCATGTAGAATCTGTGCCCCCATAAAATCAGTGTGATACACATCAGCCAATACCAGGGCAAAATAGGATGGGACTGTGAACTGTAAGGTGACAGTTGGCTCAATTTCTAAAGAAAAAGGCTATCCCCTTCTAGCTCCATTTCCCCCCTCCTAGTTGATAACAATCTAGACATAACTGAATCACAAAGACTTAATGAAACATGCAGTGAATAGCATTCTGAGTTAGCAGATGCTCTGCCAAGATGGAGGAATGGGAGATACGAAGGATGCTCTGGATGGAAGATGAAAACTTTGCATGGAGAAAAGGACAGCAATGGGCTCTGCTTTGTCAGCCTGACTTCCCTTCATGTCATGGAGTCAGCAAGACATGAACTGGCCAGTGTCCTACAGGAAGAAAAATATCTCCATAGGAGTAAAGACAAAGTAGTCCTACCACAACAACTGACACTTACAGGATCCAACAGGACTAGAAAGTGAAGCGGTAAGCCACAGTGTGACAGAAAATATCTGACAATCATGTATCTGATAAAGGATTTATGTTTTGGATATATAAAGGACTCACAATTAAAAAGCAGAAAAGATAACCCAAAGCTGAGCATGGTGGCATACACCTGGAATCCCTCCAAAGGCTGAGGCCAGATGTTTTCAGGAGTTCAAGGAAAGCCTGAGCTACACAGTAAGACCCTGTCTCAAAAAAAAGGAAAAGGAAAAAGGTAACTCAAACTGAAAATGCAGGACGAACTTAAGTATACATTTGTCCAATGAAGATACACAAATGTCAATTGGCTTGTGAAAACACATATGCCCAACACCACACCCTTACTCACCAATAGGGAAGTTGCATTATAAAAGTAAAATGCAAATGCAAGGGAAAGTCACAATCAGATTTCACTTCATTTGCATGGAACCTTTCAACCAAAAAGAATAAAAACTCTTGGCAAGGATACAGAGATGCTGTAACTCTCATACAATGCTGGAAGAAGGTGAAATGGTGCAATAAGTTTGGAAAATGGACCGGCACTGCTAGTTTCTCCAAAGGTTAAGCACAGAGAGTTACCACATGACTCCACACAGAAGCCAAGAGAAATGAAAGCAGGCACACACAAAATGCTGTACATGTATTTGCACAGCAGTATGAATAACTGTTGAAATGGAAACTACTGCAAGTCTATCAACTGCTTGATGAATTAAAAATACACACAAGAGGACATTACTTAGAAGAGGAAATAAAGTACAGAACTACAACATGAATGAATCTTGAGAACCTGCTAAGTGAAAGAAGGCAGTCCCAAAAGAAGACAGGACACATATTGAGTATTTTGATACAAAATGTCCAGAAGAACACAATCTACAAAGTATATCACTGGTTCTTTAACAGTGAGCCAGGAAAGAGGTAGGCAATGGTTGAAAGGTCTGAATTTTCTTTAGAATGAAAGAATTTCCTGAAATTGGGGTGATGACTCTGAATATACTGAATGTAACCAAATTGCACATTTTAAATGACTGAATTTCAACCTACGTAAACAGTATTTTAATAAAGATGCAAGCAACATCCCAAAATTCATTTCATACACATGATTTGAGGTTATGTGATGGTCTATATGTTGGCTTTGTATCATTAGCCAGGGCTTAAAACAACAAGATACCCTTTGAATTGAAAAGGAGTGATTTTATCAAATAAAAGTAAAAAATATCCTTCCCCTCACTGATTAAAATACAATGATGTATAGTTCCCCAAACTAAGTAGTTATTGTTCCCAAAACTACTAAGAAATTAGCTTGTAGATTAGCCTGGTATTTGGAATATTCAAGTGCACTGGAATTTGTATCTCCATGGAAACAAAAGTCTCCACTTCTGTGCTCATCTAACTTTGTTTCTTTTATTTTAACAAGTTTCTTACATCTGCAAGAATGTACAGAGTGAAATTTGAAGTTTTACCTCTTGAAACAGATATTATATTCTAACATGAAAACAATTCTTTCATTTGTTTCAACCTAACAGTATTTGAAAGCATTGACAGAAATATAATCTTAGATAAATAATATGCAGTAAAAGTTTATGCTGTATATGTGACAGTAAAGAGCTAATACTGTAACCATGCACAAGATTCATATAATTACTATCCTCTTTGGTGTGTTAACATAATACACTAACATATTCATCTTAGCTAAAGCCCAGAGATCAGAAACCAAAATGAAGAAAAATATACTTACATGTATTTGAATGTTAAAGATTTTAAAAACATAATTAGGTATCTGTTAACCATGGTGAACAAGAAAAGAAAGAGTACACAAAACTCTGAAGGTGGGCTGGAGGTGCAGCTCAATGGTAGAGTATGTGTCCAGCATGTGCAAATATATAGGTTCAGTCTCAAACAAAGAACAAAAGTAAAGCAAAGCAAAGAGAAGAAAAGAAAATATTGAGATTATTGGAAACAGAAAAAGACAAGAAACATCATCTTTGAAATCTGAGTTGAAGAGGAAAAAAAGCAGTTTAGGAGAAAGGAAATCAACAGAGGAATAATAGGTAGTCTGAAAGTGTGTTTTAGGAACAAATTTCAGTCTTTGGTACTACCATGCTGACAAAATGCAGGAGGTACAAAATTGGAAAGACAAACAGTTAAGGAGATGCAAATATTGGCTTGAATCATAACAACCTCAAGCTCTCCATTAACCAATGGTAACCAGCCATCATGGGGGCTTCAAGACACTGGAAAACACTTTTCATTTTTAAACCATTTTATTCTTTTTCCTTGTAGAATCATTTGCATCCACAAGGCATACATATTTTTGTGTGCAAGAGACTTTACAATCACCCCTTTCTATCCTGCAGGTTCTGTTTTCAGGGATTCAATCAACAGTAGACTGAAAATACTCAGGAAAAGAACTGCATCTGTACTCAACACATACTAATTTTTTTGTCATTACTCCTTGAATGACGCAGCAAGGACTCACATAACATTTACCTTCTATTAAGTGTTAATAATCTATCAATGACTTAAAACATAGGAGGATTCAGTAGAGTATATGCAAATGCTATGCAATTATGTAAAAGAGACATGAGTATCCAAGGAGTTTGATATCTAAAGAGGTCCTGGGACCAATACTGTGAATACATCAAGGGGCGATTGTATAGTATTTACACACACACACACACACACACACACACACACACACACACACACATATTTATTTGTATAATATATAATCTTGAATGAAGGCACACACACGATAAGTGGACAGAAGCTTAGTAACACATATACTGCATGCACACATGGGATTACTCATGGATGACAAATGTAGTTGTTGACAGATTTTATAGCTAACGGAGAAAGAGGTACACAGAAAATATGAGACAAATCAAGATTAATATTAGTGTTATTAAAGAATGACATAGGCTGTTAAACACAAAAATATATTTTAATGCTAGCTGGAAGGATATTACCAAAAGAAGGTAAGAGAGAAAAAAAACCCTCAAATAAAAATTCAAGTAGATAAAAAGAGGGAACTTCATATTATTTCCAAGCACTGTCATGTGTTTGAAACCACCAGAGTAAATAACATATGGCATTCACAAAACAGATTATGCTGTGGGTCACTAAGGTAAATTTTAAAATATAATAATTTGTGTATTAATTAAAATGCAAATAATAGATTCACAATTAGTTTAGTAAAGTCAGTGAAACCATTCATGACTGGTTGGTAAGGTTTGACATTATGAAAATCTTACCCTGCTAGTTCTGATTCAGGTTCACGATTTTTCTTTTTTATTTCATCCAAAGCACATTCCAGGTCGTGCTTTTCCTTCTTTAATTGGTCCACCTCAGACATTGCATTTTTAAACAGCTCAGTGAATTTGAAGAACTGTTCTTTCTCATCTTCAGACTTTGAAAACGAATTTATAATTAATTTCTAAAACTCTAAAGATTCATTCCTTAACAATATTACTTCACATGTGCTCATGAATGTGCAAACGCAAAGTATAAAACGGACGCCAGTAAGAACAGACTTGAAAACAGCAGCTTCTCTGAACACAGCTCAAGTTAACTTGTGCTTTCATCATTTTGTTTTCATCATGACGGTTTCTGAAGTGTGTGCTGCCAAACTTTGTTAAAAAAGAAAGTTTTACACATAAGCATTGATGAAAAATATATGAAAAGGACTGTATTTCCATTTCACTTTCTAAAGATATTCTAGAGGTCTTTCCCTCAATAGCTCAACATATTCCAGGGTTATTTAAAACATATTTTATCAAGACAAATTCTGGAAACCTCGATTTCATCCCAGTTTTGAACCTCACTCGACTTTGGAATGAGATAGATATTTATTCTCTCTAAGCATCCCCTCAGGAATTTTGTTTTGTACCCAGGAACCAAAACCTGAATCCCTTGCTGGCTAGACAGGCGCTGTGCCACTGAGCTATGTGCCCAGCCCAGAATTATTTTTTCTGCTATTAAACAATTTTCTTTTCAGTTTCTCTTTTTTGTAATGCGCAGAAGCCTCACTTCTACATGGTTCTTATGGCTTTTCTATCATCTTGTTTCTTGCCCTCCAAAGGACTCTTACATTTCTGATACATAGTCTCATGTACAAATCTAATTTTTCATCACTGGAGGACATTAAAATCTGATTTTCATCCTGTATTTCCAATAAAGTAATGTGAAAGTCACCAAAGACACTTGTTTCCGGAGTTCTCATCCTTCCCACTGCTCAGAGCTTCTGCTCACAGTGACTTCTCTCCACTTCTCTCCACTCCGAGCTCCACTGTGCTCCTAAAGGCAGCTGCTTAAGTCTTATGTCCACTACAGTTCAGATTCCCTCAGATCCTAAATCCAAGCCTTTGAGTCTGATAACCTAATCCCCATTTCCAGATGCAGCCTCTAGACAGGGGTCATTTACACTTTCCCTTCTTCCTTTTAGTTTACTTCTCCCAAGACAAAACTTCATCATCCATTATTTAGTATGGATTCCTTCTGCACTGAGTCCTACACATTGCATAGTGAGTCACATGGGTTTCAATCTGAATTTTGTGATCTTCTAACATGGGGCTGATGGCCTCACTGTTAGAATGCCACCCAGCATAAGTCACCCTGTATTTCTTTTATACTGTTGCTTTCCTATGGGTTCACATTGCTTTTTAAAATATTTTCCAGTTATATATGGTACCACTACCAATTTTTCAACATCTCAATACGTTTGTATATGACACTTAAAGTAAGATGATGGCCCCTGGCATTTTAATTCACAAATGACACCTTATCAACATGTCAGCATGATATGTGTATGAAAAGTATAGTACAACAACAGGACTAATTTATTTGAATTCTAGAAAAAATTATTTCTCTATATTTCATCAGAGAAAACACTAGCCAGAATTGTGTAGCTCCCTTATAACAAGTCTTTTCTTGTTGTTGAGACAAAATAACCAGACCCACAAGTTAAGAGAGGAAAGGTTCAGAACTCACAGTTTATAGAGGTTTCAGTTCATAGTAGGCTGGCTCCAGAACAGGGAGGCATTGCAGAGGGGCATCACGGACCAGAAGACAAGCAGGAGCAGCAGCAGCAGCAGCAGCAGCAGCAGCAGCAGCAGCAGCAGCATCAAGCTTCTTTCTGTCCCTACATCTTATCCAGGTACTCACCTTTAGGGCAGGTAGCACTCATACCCTTAATCTTAACATCACACCCTTGATCCCAGAACTATGCCAAACCAACCGGTGGACCAACATGGTAATCACATATCCAGAATCCCAACATCATATTCTAGAGATCTAGCTACCAATGAAAAAACCTCATCTATACTCCATGAGGGTTTGGGGGACAGGTAGGCAGGAGACATAGCAGCGAGCATCTGTGTAATGGAGCTCGATGGATCAAATTGCTGTGACTTTAAGAAATCAGTCAATGGAAGGAGCCACCTCACATCTCCACTTCCATGCACACAATGTGTCCTTGTGGTCCTAATTCCCACACAGGAGAACACGGGCCACAGAAGAATCTGCTCTGCCTGGTCAAGAGGTACATGGTTTTCATTACACATCAACAAACTGTCACCCAGTCTTATGCGTTACTCTTAGACTGGACAAGTTTAAATGGCTGATAAACACTAATCAATGGGGAAAAATCATGAAACTGCAATGCTAGGACCACTAGTTCCTCAGTAAGACAAATATCCATTTCTACTTTGTTACTGGCATCTTTTTCCTTGCTTACAGTCAAAGAGAAATACAGTGTCTCTGGGGAAAATGTTTGTGTAGCGCCCTAGTATCCATTCTTGGTGACAATATAAATTACAAAATATCATGGAAAAGCTTTCATTACAAAAAGATATTCAAAATCTTAGATTCAGCAATTGAATTTCCTGGAATTTTAAAAGTTATTGCATCATATTAGCTGAGACTCATGACACACAGTAATATATCAATGTCCAGATCAGCATTATTCCCAAAGAAGTGTGGGGATAACTCTCACATCCTTCAATGGATAATGGATAAACAAATGTGGTATGTGTAAAATAGGGATTTTAGGCTATAAAAATCTTTTGTATTAAAATATCACTGCCAAAGTCATGAAATGCATGAAACCATTTATCTTCCATAAAGTTAAGAGGACTTCACTACTGCTAGTAAGGAGGAGGTATCAATACGATTACAACAAGTGTTTTTATCAGTAAGATTTTCATAGTGCCTAAAATATTCCTACATACTAGCAGAGGAGGAACTGCTTTCTAGAACAATAGAAATTAAAAAGAATTGCACTTACCAATCTATTGCTCAACAAGTGTTTCTGAGCTCGTTCAAGTTTACCCCTTAGCTTTTGATTTTCCTTTTTCAGGCGCAAATTCTCCAATGTGAGTGTTTGCACAGATCTGTTTAAAAAGTCACATAATCTTTGAAAGACTCCACACAACTTTAAAAGTTAGAAAAAGTAGATGATTTGGTAGGTAAGATTTTTCTCATTGTGCTTGTTGACACTTTTTCTTTGGCATTATTGGGAGTGAACACAGGGCTCCACGTGGAAAGCACATGCTCTCTCCTCACTGTACTATTTCTGCTCCCCTAAATTACTCCTTTCAGGTACATTTATCAAAGCTAGAATTTTCCTCTGGCCTAATGAAGATTTAGTACTTATATAACTGCAATATGTCTCATATTATGCTGCTGATTTCCTTTAGAGATGCTCAAGTCATTTGGTTAAGCCATACCTGTCTAAGGGTTCTTCCGTTTTTTTGTCGTGTTGCACAGAGCTTGTACCTCGGTCTTGTGCTTCTGTCAACTGAAAATTAACAAAAATGTTTATTAATAACCTGCCCATCCCTGGTGTTTGTTTCATAACTGTAGTGGGCACAGCTATAATGCTCCACCTCCGTATGGTTTATAGTTACCTCTGTGCTGTGTCTACACCGTTAGCTGAACTGCTGACGCAGGGATCCAATGGCCCACACCTTACAAAATAACACCCTCTCCCCACTACTTAAGTTACCGACCCCAGCTCTAGGTCTGAAACATATTATATTCCTGATTTTAGACCTGTTAGCAGGTCCTCAAACTGACAAAACTAGAAGGTTAGCACAGTGCTATGGACCTGCATTCCTGGCTGCTTGGTAAGCTGATGCTTGAGACCAGCCTGGGCAACTGGAGGAGACAACTCTTTTGCAGGAAACTATAAAAGTGAAAGTTTTGGTAAAATGGAGAGAAAGAGGAAGTCCCTTTACTTGTGCTGTCCTTTTAGTTGTATTTTTACATTCCACGCATTACATCCTACTTTATGGATTCCAAGTACTATTTATCAACTATGATATGAATAATGCTTATATGACTAAGAGCAATGCCAATGATAATAATACAGAAATGACACTGCAGTAACATCTAGATGTCTCCAGGAACTGTTGGAGAAACAGTATCTAGACAGACACCAGCATGCCTGGGCCAGAGTTCCAACTCCACCAGTCACCAGCAGTGGGAGCTCTATAAAATCTTTCCTCTTAGGTATTATTGTGTTTTCTGTTTTGATAAAGTTTAATATTGCAGGAAAGCTGAGGTAAAAGTTTCCTCAGGTCAAGTGCAGTCTTGATAATTTAGTCAGAAGATCTCTCAAAATTTAAATCAGAAGCTGGGCTTCGTGTCACACAGCTGTGATTCTGTCACTCAGGAGGCTGAGTCAACAGGGTTACTGTAACCATGAGACCACCTTGGAGAGGCACAGGAAATTCAAGGCCAGCCTGGGGTACACAAAATGTCTCGGCACAGGGGTCATTTACACTTTCCCTTCTTCCTTTTAGTTTACTTCTCCCAGAACAAAACCTCATCAGCCATTATTTGGTATGGATTCCTTCTGCACTGAGTCCTACACATGGCAAAGTGACTCACATGGGTTTCAATCTGAATTTTGCAATCTTCTAATCTAGGGCTGGAGGCCTCACTGTTAGAATGGCACCCATCATAATTCACCTTGTTTTTCTTTTTTAATGTTGCTTTCCAATGGACCACATTGTCTTTTTTGAATATTTTCCAGTTGTATATGGTATCACTACCAATTTTTCAACATCTCAATACCTTTGTATATGACACTTAAAGTAAGATGATGGCCCCTGGAATTTTAATTCACAAATGATACCTTATCAACATGTCAGCATGTTATGTGTATGAAAAGTATAGTACAACAACAGGACTAATTTATTTGAATTCTAGAAAAAATTGTTTCTCCACATTTCATCATAGAAAACACTAGGCAGAATTCTGTAGCTCCCTTATAACAAGTCTTTTCTTGTTGTTGAGACAAAATAACCAGACCCACAAGTTAAGAGAGGAAAGGTTCGGAACTCACAGTTTATAGAGGTTTCAGTTCATAGTAGGCTGGCTCCAGAACAGGGAGGCATTGCAGAGGGGCATCACGGACCAGAAGACAAGCAGGAGCAGCAGCAGCAGCAGCAGCAGCAAGCTTTTTTCTGTCCCTACATCTTATCCAGGTACTCACCTTTAGGGCAGGTAGCACTCATACCCTTAATCTTAACATCACATCCTTGATCCCAGAACTATGCCAAACCAACCGGTGGACCAACTTGGTAATCACATATCCTGAATCCCAACATCATATTCTACAGATCTAGTCACCTATGAAAAACACCCATCTATAGCTCCATGAGAGTTTGGGGGACAGGTAGGCAGGAGACATAGCAACAAGCATCTGTGTAATGGAGCTCGATGGATCAAATTGCTGTGACTTTAACAAATCAGTCAGTGGAAGGAGCCACCTCACATCTCCACTTCCATGCACACAATGTGTCCTTGTGGTCCTAATTCCCACACAGGAGAACACGGGCCACAGGAGAATCTGCTCTGCCTGGTCAAGAGGTACATGGTTTTCATTACACATCAACAAACTGTCACCCAGTCTTATGCGTTACTCTTAGACTGGACAAGTTTAAATGGCTGATAAACACTAATCAATGGGGAAAAATCATGAAACTGCAATGCTCTGACTACTAGTTCCTCAGTAAGACAAATATCCATTTCTACTTTGTTACTGGCATCTTTTTCCTTGCTTACAGTCAAAGAGAAATACAGTGTTTCTGGGGAAAATGCTTGTGTAGTGCCCTTCTATCCATTCTTGGTGACCATATAAATTACAAAATATCATGGAAAAGCTTTCATTGCAACAGATATTCAAAGGCTTAGATTCAGCAATTCAATTTCCTGGAATTTTAAAAGTTATTGTATCATATTAGCTGAGACTCGTGACGCGCAGTTGTTGGGAGCCACCACATTGCCGAGCCGCCGCATATAGCGATCATGCGGCCTGTGGTAAAGAGTAAAGCCTGAGTTAGATTACCCCTCCCATCGAGCACGTTAGTTTCCTGCTTACCGCGTAAACAACCCGCTCAATAATATGTTAGCCAATCAGCTTGCCTTGCTTACTTTAACATGATTGGACACTGTATCCGTATATATACTGGTGCCACCCCTGGGGGGAAGTAGAAGCCCGGAAGGAGCCGCGGAGAGCGGACCGGTAGAGGCTTTGGAGCGAAGCCCGGAAGGAGCCGCGGAGAGCGGACCGGTAGAGGCTTTGGAGCGAAGCCCGGAAGGAGCCGCGGAGAGTGGACCGGTAGAGGCTTTGGAGCGAAGCCCGGAAGGAGCCGCGGGGAGCGGACCAGAGGAGGCTTCGGCTGGGAGCGGTCCCAGGGCAGGCTGTACGGAGAGAAATAAAAGAAAAGGTTGTCCACTGCCAGACTTTGTCGTGTGTCCTTCCTGCCGGCCGGGAGCGACACCGACATTTGGAGGCCCACACGGGGACTGATCACCCCCGAGACGTGACAGTGGACAACGCTCCAACGCAGAGCTGCAAGACAGGTGAGTAGAGGATAAACCTGGGCCCTGGGTGGCGCGCACCTACAGGGTTTGTAGACTCCTCTCAGGCTCACGCGTAAGTGGCGGGTTTCTTGGGCCTCACGCGGTGAGTATGAAACATAACACCAGAACTTAAGGTAATAAAAGAGTGTAAAACATAAACATAGAAGTAAAAATAACAGAAGATAACATGCCAAGTAAAGATACACAGCCTTGGTGTTGGTCCTTCGGAGACTCCTAAAGTCCAAGGACCTCAAGGTGGGGCGTAAGACTCTGGAAAATTTCCTTGCAGAAACTGACAGCTTTGCTCCCTGGTTTCTGCCTACAGGGCATGTAAACCTACCCTCCTGGGAAAAGTTGGGCAGAGACCTTTCCCTAGCAGAACGGGAGGGTAGAGCTTCGGTCTCTGCTCGTCCGTTGTGGGAAATGATACACGCGTGCCTAAAGAGTGAGGGTAGTTACGGGGGGAGCTCTCAAAAACTTGTAAAAGTACGCGAGGCGTTTAAACAGGCACAGTCAAGAAGCTCCCGAGAAGGGTCCGTCAAAGGAGACAAAGATATAAAGGAGGAAGACGGGGCTCAGGCCTCGGAGTCGTCCGACTCCGAGAACGAGGAAGGCTTAGACAACGATGAGACCAAGGAGCCTAGATGCCAAGAGGATAGGCCGCTCGATAAGGAGTCGCAGGGTTCTTTCTCAGCGTTGCGCCGCAAATTGCGCTCCGCTCGACTTGGTCTGCAGAGGAGTAGAGAGCTCCTGAGCGCCCCCTGGCGCGAGAGGGAGGCGAAGCCTTCCGCCCCACCTTGGGGGCTGTTCCCGGAAGCGATCCCTCGCCATGAGGCGGCCGCGTGGGAGCTCCCTCCCCTTTCGCCAGAACAGGAAGTGATGCACGGGCCCCCATTTTCTGCCCAATCACAGCCGCCGTCCTATGCTCCGCCGCCGGCGGGTCGGTATTTTTACAGGCGGCTTTGGCAGGGGGGACATTTGTCTCATGAGGTACATCCACCACCTGGGATAGATAGTGGCCCCTACGGGATATTTCCTGTACAAGTAGCTATGGGCCAGGGACGTAATGCATGGGAGCCTTTTGAGATAAAGCAGATTAGAGAACTTAAAAACAACCTTTGGGCCGACTGCGCCTTACACCATTGCCATGCTGGAGAACCTGTCTTCTGGGCCCCTCATTGGCGAGCCTGGTACACAGAGTTCTCTGCCGAGCAGGCTGAAAAAAAAACGCCGGTCGAGGAAATGGGGGCTGGGGATTTAGCTCAGGGGCATAAGCGCCTGCCTTGTAAGCAGGCAATCGCCAGTTCGATCCCTGGTACCAAAAAAAAAAAAAAAACGAAAAAGATAAAAATAAAAAATAAAAAATAAAAAACAAAAAGGGGGAGTAAGCCAAGGCCTGCCTCCAAAGGCGCGGTTATCTATGGCATGACAATGGATGGGCCCGGATCCGGTAATCAGCTGGAACCGAGGCGCGGTTTGTGTTTTTCTGCAGGAATTGGGACGAGAACCACTGTGGGTACCGGAGAGACTGACAAGGGCGACAAAGCCCTCGACTGAAGATCAGACCTGCCCTACCGGAGATCCATCACAGACCAACCAACAAGATGAATAGAAATAGCGGTAGCCCAAAATGGACAAAAAGATCCTCAGGCATATGCATGGCTCGCTCGCCTAGCCTACGACCGAGTCTAGGGGCGGTGAGCTTCCCACACTCCTCCTCTAAAAAATTATGACATAGCTGGGTAGGAGAGTCAATGACGGGTAAGAGCGTACTCCCCCGGTGCGACTCAACCTAAGCCAGGCCCTACCCCATCCTGCACGTAAGCCGCTGGACTGTTAGATGCTGCCCAGGTCTAAATTTCTCTCCGAGGGGATTTCTTTACGGAGAGGAAATGAGTGCAAGCTTGTGTGCATCCAGGTTCCGTCCAGTTTGTGCCTGGCCCTAGAAAAAGGACGAGGGCCTCAGGGCCTTGGCAGACCATGGCACGGCCGACCAGGGTCTAAGCCAAGGACCTACGGTGGGCCTACGCATAGGGCATAAGCCTCTGCACCCAGTCCAGGAAGGGCTACGATGCGCACATTCATAAAAAATAAAAAAGGGGGAGATGTTGGGAGCCACCACATTGCCGAGCCGCCGCATATAGCGATCATGCGGCCTGTGGTAAAGAGTAAAGCCTGAGTTAGATTACCCCTCCCATCGAGCACGTTAGTTTCCTGCTTACCGCGTAAACAACCCGCTCAATAATATGTTAGCCAATCAGCTTGCCTTGCTTACTTTAACATGATTGGACACTGTATCCGTATATATACTGGTGCCACCCCTGGGGGGAAGTAGAAGCCCGGAAGGAGCCGCGGAGAGCGGACCGGTAGAGGCTTTGGAGCGAAGCCCGGAAGGAGCCGCGGAGAGCGGACCGGTAGAGGCTTTGGAGCGAAGCCCGGAAGGAGCCGCGGAGAGTGGACCGGTAGAGGCTTTGGAGCGAAGCCCGGAAGGAGCCGCGGGGAGCGGACCAGAGGAGGCTTCGGCTGGGAGCGGTCCCAGGGCAGGCTGTACGGAGAGAAATAAAAGAAAAGGTTGTCCACTGCCAGACTTTGTCGTGTGTCCTTCCTGCCGGCCGGGAGCGACACCGACACACAGTAATATATCAATGTCCAGATCAGCATTATTCCCAAAGAAGTGTGGCAATAACTCTCAAATCCTTCAATGGATAATGGATAAACAAATGTGGTATGTGTAAAATAGGGATTTTAGGCTATAAAAATCTTTTGTATTAAAATATCACTGCCAAAGTCATGAATTGCATGAAACCATTTATCTTCCATAAAGTTAAGAGGACGTCACTACTGCTAGTAAGGAGGTATCAATATGATTACAACAAGTGTTTTTATCAGTGAAACTTTTCATAGTGCCTAAAATATTCCTATGTACTAGCAGAGAAATAAGAACTCCTTTCAAGTATGATAGAAATTAAAATCAAATGGACTCACCAAACTGTCATTTGACAAGTGTTTCTGAGCATGTTCAACTTTTCCTGCTGTTTTCTTCCTTTTCTTTGTCTGGCTCAAAATCTCCATTTCGAGACTTTGAACATTTTCTTTCAGGTGTGAACACACCAATTCAATCCTAAAATATTGATTTCAAAATAATTATTTGCACAGATCTGTTAAAAATGCATAACCTTTGAAAGACTATTCACAATTTTAAAAGTTAGAAAAAGTAGATGATTTGGTAGGTAAGATTTTTCTCATTGTGCTTGTTGACACTTTTTCTTTGGCATTATTGGGAGTGAACACAGGGCTCCACGTGGAAAGCACATGCTCTCTCCTCACTGTACTATTTCTGCTCCCCTAAATTACTCCTTTCAGGTAAATTTATCAAAGCTAGAATTTTCCCCTGGCCTAATGAAGATTTAGTACTTATATAACTGCAATATGTCTCATATTATGCTGCTGATTTCCTTTAGAGATGCTCAAATCATTTGGTTAAGCCATACCTGTCTAAGGGTTCTTCCGTTTTTTCGTCGTGTTGCACAGAGCTTTTACCTCGGTCTTGTGCTTCTGTCAACTGAAAATTAACAAAAATATTTATTAATAACCTGCCCATCCCTGGTGTTTGTTTCATAACTGTAGTGGGCACAGCTATAACGCTCCACCTCCGTATGGTTTATAGTTACCTCTGTGCTGTGTCTACACCGTTAGCTGAACTGCTGACGCAGGGATCCAATGGCCCACACCTTACAAAATAACACCCTCTCCCCACTACTTAAGTTACCGACCCCAGCTCTAGGTCTGAAACATATTATATTCCTGATTTTAGACCTGTTAGCAGGTCCTCAAACTGACAAAACTAGAAGGTTAGCACAGTGCTATGGACCTGCATTCCTGGCTGCTTGGTAAGCTGATGCTTGAGACCAGCCTGGGCAACTGGGGGAGACAACTCTTTTGCAGGAAACTATAAAAGTGAAAGTTTTGGTAAAATGGAGAGAAAGAGGAAGTCCCTTTACTTGTGCTGTCCTTTTAGTTGTATTTTTACATTCCACGCATTACATCCTACTTTATGGATTCCAAGTACTGTTTATCAACTATGATATGAATAATGCTTATATGACTAAGAGCAATGCCAATGATAATAATACAGAAATGACACTGCAGTAACATCTAGATGTCTCCAGGAACTGTTGGAGAAACAGTATCTAGACAGACACCAGCATGCCTGGGCCAGAGTTCCAACTCCACCAGTCACCAGCAGTGGGAGCTCTATAAAATCTTTCCTCTTAGGTATTATTGTGTTTTCTGTTTTGATAAAGTTTAATATTGCAGGAAAGCTGAGGTAAAAGTTTCCTCAGGTCAAGTGCAGTCTTGATAATTTAGTCAGAAGATCTCTCAAAATTTAAATCAGAAGCTGGGCTTCGTGTCACACAGCTGTGATTCTGTCACTCAGGAGGCTGAGTCAACAGGGTTACTGTAACCATGAGACCACCTTGGAGAGGCACAGGAAATTCAAGGCCAGCCTGGGGTACACAAAATGTCTCGGCACAGGGATCATTTACACTTTCCCTTCTTCCTTTTAGTTTACTTCTCCCAGAACAAAACCTCATCAGCCATTATTTGGTATGGATTCCTTCTGCACTGAGTCCTACACATGGCAAAGTGACTCACATGGGTTTCAATCTGAATTTTGCAATCTTCTAATCTAGGGCTGGAGGCCTCACTGTTAGAATGGCACCCATCATAATTCACCTTGTTTTTCTTTTTTAATGCTGCTTTCCAATGGACCACATTGTCTTTTTTGAATATTTTCCAGTTGTATATGGTACCACTACCAATTTTTCAACATCTCAATACCTTTGTATATGACACTTAAAGTAAGATGATGGCCCCTGGCATTTTAATTCACAAATGACACCTTATCAACATGTCAGCATGTTATGTGTATGAAAAGTATAGTACAACAACAGGACTAATTTATTTGAATTCTAGAAAAAATTGTTTCTCCACATTTCATCATAGAAAACACTAGGCAGAATTCTGTAGCTCCCTTATAACAAGTCTTTTCTTGTTGTTGAGACAAAATACCCAGACTCACAAGTTAAGAGAGGAAAGGTTCGGAACTCACAGTTTATAGAGGTTTCAGTTCATAGTAGGCTGGCTCCAGAACAGGGAGGCATTGCAGAGGGGCATCACGGACCAGAAGACAAGCAGGAGCAGCAGCAGCAGCAGCAGCAGCAAGCTTTTTTCTGTCCCTACATCTTATCCAGGTACTCACCTTTAGGGCAGGTAGCACTCATACCCTTAATCTTAACATCACATCCTTGATCCCAGAACTATGCCAAACCAACCGGTGGACCAACTTGGTAATCACATATCCTGAATCCCAACATCATATTTTACAGATCTAGTCACCTATGAAAAACACCCATCTATAGCTCCATGAGAATTTGGGGGACAGGTAGGCAGGAGACATAGCAACAAGCATCTGTGTAATGGAGCTCGATGGATCAAATTGCTGTGACTTTAACAAATCAGTCAGTGGAAGGAGCCACCTCACATCTCCACTTTCATGCACACAATGTGTCCTTGTGGTCCTAATTCCCACACAGGTGGACACGGGCCACAGAAGAATCTGCTCTGCCTGGTCAAGAGGTACATGGTTTTCATTACACATCAACAAACTGTCACCCAGTCTTATGCGTTACTCTTAGACTGGACAAGTTTAAATGGCTGATAAACACTAATCAATGGGGAAAAATCATGAAACTGCAATGCTAGGACCACTAGTTCCTCAGTAAGACAAATATCCATTTCTACTTTGTTACTGGCATCTTTTTCCTTGCTTACAGTCAAAGAGAAATACAGTGTCTCTGGGGAAAATGCTTGTGTAGTGCCCTACTATCCATTCTTGGTGACCATATAAATTACAAAATATCATGGAAAAGCTTTCATTGCAACAGATATTCAAAGTCTTAGATTCAGCAATTCAATTTCCTGGAATTTTAAAAGTTATTGTATCATATTAGCTGAGACTCGTGACACACAGTAATATATCAATGTCCAGATCAGCATGATTCCCAAAGAAGTGTGGGAATAACTCTCAAATCCTTCAATGGATAATGGATAAACAAATGTGGTATGTGTAAAATAGGGATTTTAGGCTATAAAAATCTTTTGTATTAAAATATCACTGCCAAAGTCATGAATTGCATGAAACCATTTACCTTCCATAAAGTTAAGAGGACGTCACTACTGCTAGTAAGGAGGTATCAGTATGATTACAACAAGTGTTTTTATCAGTGAAACTTTTCATAGTGCCTAAAATATTCCTATGTACTAGCAGAGAAATAAGAACTCCTTTCAAGTACGATAGAAATTAAAAACAAATGGACTCACCAAACTGTCATTTGACAAGTGTTTCTGAGCATGTTCAACTTTTCCTGCTGTTTTCTTCCTTTTCTTTGTCTGGCTCAAAATCTCCATTTCGAGACTTTGAACATTTTCTTTCAGGTGTGAACACACCAATTCAATCCTAAAATATTGATTTCAAAATAATTATTTGCACAGATCTGTTAAAAATGCATAACCTTTGAAAGACTACTCACAATTTTAAAAGTTAGAAAAAGTAGATGATTTGGTAGGTAAGATTTTTCTCATTGTGCTTGTTGACACTTTTTCTTTGGCATTATTGGGAGTGAACACAGGGCTCCACGTGGAAAGCACATGCTCTCTCCTCACTGTACTATTTCTGCTCCCCTAAATTACTCCTTTCAGGTAAATTTATCAAAGCTAGAATTTTCCCCTGGCCTAATGAAGATTTAGTACTTATATAACTGCAATATGTCTCATATTATGCTGCTGATTTCCTTTAGAGATGCTCAAATCATTTGGTTAAGCCATACCTGTCTAAGGGTTCTTCCGTTTTTTCGTCGTGTTGCACAGAGCTTGTATCTCGGTCTTGTGCTTCTGTCAACTGAAAATTAACAAAAATATTTATTAATAACCTGCCCATCCCTGGTGTTTGTTTCATAACTGTAGTGGGCACAGCTATAATGCTCCACCTCTGTATGGTTTATAGTTACCTCTGTGCTGTGTCTACACCGTTAGCTGAACTGCTGACGCAGGGATCCAATGGCCCACACCTTACAAAATAACACCCTCTCCCCACTACTTAAGTTACCGACCCCAGCTCTAGGTCTGAAACATATTATATTCCTGATTTTAGACCTGTTAGCAGGTCCTCAAACTGACAAAACTAGAAGGTTAGCACAGTGCTATGGACCTGCATTCCTGGCTGCTTGGTAAGCTGATGCTTGAGACCAGCCTGGGCAACTGGGGGAGACAACTCTTTTGCAGGAAACTATAAAAGTGAAAGTTTTGGTAAAATGGAGAGAAAGAGGAAGTCCCTTTACTTGTGCTGTCCTTTTAGTTGTATTTTTACATTCCACGCATTACATCCTACTTTATGGATTCCAAGTACTATTTATCAACTATGATATGAATAATGCTTATATGACTAAGAGCAATGCCAATGATAATAATACAGAAATGACACTGCAGTAACATCTAGATGTCTCCAGGAACTGTTGGAGAAACAGTATCTAGACAGACACCAGCATGCCTGGGCCAGAGTTCCAACTCCACCAGTCACCAGCAGTGGGAGCTCTATAAAATCTTTCCTCTTAGGTATTATTGTGTTTTCTGTTTTGATAAAGTTTAATATTGCAGGAAAGCTGAGGTAAAAGTTTCCTCAGGTCAAGTGCAGTCTTGATAATTTAGTCAGAAGATCTCTCAAAATTTAAATCAGAAGCTGGGCTTCGTGTCACACAGCTGTGATTCTGTCACTCAGGAGGCTGAGTCAACAGGGTTACTGTAACCATGAGACCACCTTGGAGAGGCACAGGAAATTCAAGGCCAGCCTGGGGTACACAAAATGTCTCGGCACAGGGGTCATTTACACTTTCCCTTCTTCCTTTTAGTTTACTTCTCCCAGAACAAAACCTCATCAGCCATTATTTGGTATGGATTCCTTCTGCACTGAGTCCTACACATGGCAAAGTGACTCACATGGGTTTCAATCTGAATTTTGCAATCTTCTAATCTAGGGCTGGAGGCCTCACTGTTAGAATGCCACCCGTCATAATTCACCTTGTTTTTCTTTTATAATGTTGCTTTCCAATGGACCACATTGTCTTTTTTGAATATTTTCCAGTTGTACATGGTACCACTACCAATTTTTCAACATCTCAATACCTTTGTATATGACACTTAAAGTAAGATGATGGCCCCTGGAATTTTAATTCACAAACGACACCTTATCAACATGTCAGCATGTTATGTGTATGAAAAGTATAGTACAACAACAGGACTAATTTATTTGAATTCTAGAAAAAATTGTTTCTCCACATTTCATCATAGAAAACACTAGGCAGAATTCTGTAGCTCCCTTATAACAAGTCTTTTCTTGTTGTTGAGACAAAATACCCAGACTCACAAGTTAAGAGAGGAAAGGTTCGGAACTCACAGTTTATAGAGGTTTCAGTTCATAGTAGGCTGGCTCCAGAACAGGGAGGCATTGCAGAGGGGCATCACGGACCAGAAGACAAGCAGGAGCAGCAGCAGCAGCAGCAGCAGCAAGCTTTTTTCTGTCCCTACATCTTATCCAGGTACTCACCTTTAGGGCAGGTAGCACTTATACCCTTAATCTTAACATCACATCCTTGATCCCAGAACTATGCCAAACCAACCGGTGGACCAACTTGGTAATCACATATCCTGAATCCCAACATCATATTCTACAGATCTAGTCACCTATGAAAAACACCCATCTATAGCTCCTTGAGAGTTTGGGGGGCAGGTAGGCAGGAGACATAGCAACAAGCATCTGTGTAATGGAGCTCGATGGATCAAATTGCTGTGACTTTAACAAATCAGTCAGTGGAAGGAGCCACCTCACATCTCCACTTCCATGCACACAATGTGTCCTTGTGGTCCTAATTCCCACACAGGAGAACACGGGCCACAGAAGAATCTGCTCTGCCTGGTCAAGAGGTACATGGTTTTCATTACACATCAACAAACTGTCACCCAGTCTTATGCATTACTCTTAGACTGGACAAGTTTAAATGGCTGATAAACACTAATCAATGGGGAAAAATCATGAAACTGCAATGCTAGGACCACTAGTTCCTCAGTAAGACAAATATCCATTTCTACTTTGTTACTGGCATCTTTTTCCTTGCTTACAGTCAAAGAGAAATAAAGTGTCTCTGGGGAAAATGCTTGTGTAGTGCCCTACTATCCATTCTTGGTGACCATATAAATTACAAAATATCATGGAAAAGCTTTCATTGCAACAGATATTCAAAGTCTTAGATTCAGCAATTCAATTTCCTGGAATTTTAAAAGTTATTGTATCATATTAGCTGAGACTCGTGACACACAGTAATATATCAATGTCCAGATCAGCATGATTCCCAAAGAAGTGTGGGAATAACTCTCAAATCCTTCAATGGATAATGGATAAACAAATGTGGTATGTGTAAAATAGGGATTTTAGGCTATAAAAATCTTTTGTATTAAAATATCACTGCCAAAGTCATGAATTGCATGAAACCATTTATCTTCCATAAAGTTAAGAGGACGTCACTACTGCTAGTAAGGAGGTATCAATATGATTACAACAAGTGTTTTTATCAGTGAAACTTTTCATAGTGCCTAAAATATTCCTATGTACTAGCAGAGAAATAAGAACTCCTTTCAAGTATGATAGAAATTAAAATCAAATGGACTCACCAAACTGTCATTTGACAAGTGTTTCTGAGCATGTTCAACTTTTCCTGCTGTTTTCTTCCTTTTCTTTGTCTGGCTCAAAATCTCCATTTCGAGACTTTGAACATTTTCTTTCAGGTGTGAACACACCAATTCAATCCTAAAATATTGATTTCAAAATAATTATTTGCACAGATCTGTTAAAAATGCATAACCTTTGAAAGACTATTCACAATTTTAAAAGTTAGAAAAAGTAGATGATTTGGTAGGTAAGATTTTTCTCATTGTGCTTGTTGACACTTTTTCTTTGGCATTATTGGGAGTGAACACAGGGCTCCACGTGGAAAGCACATGCTCTCTCCTCACTGTACTATTTCTGCTCCCCTAAATTACTCCTTTCAGGTAAATTTATCAAAGCTAGAATTTTCCCCTGGCCTAATGAAGATTTAGTACTTATATAACTGCAATATGTCTCATATTATGCTGCTGATTTCCTTTAGAGATGCTCAAGTCATTTGGTTAAGCCATACCTGTCTAAGGGTTCTTCCGTTTTTTCGTCGTGTTGCACAGAGCTTTTACCTCGGTCTTGTGCTTCTGTCAACTGAAAATTAACAAAAATATTTATTAATAACCTGCCCATCCCTGGTGTTTGTTTCATAACTGTAGTGGGCACAGCTATAATGCTCCACCTCCGTATGGTTTATAGTTACCTCTGTGCTGTGTCTACACCGTTAGCTGAACTGCTGACGCAGGGATCCAATGGCCCACACCTTACAAAATAACACCCTCTCCCCACTACTTAAGTTACCGACCCCAGCTCTAGGTCTGAAACATATTATATTCCTGATTTTAGACCTGTTAGCAGGTCCTCAAACTGACAAAACTAGAAGGTTAGCACAGTGCTATGGACCTGCATTCCTGGCTGCTTGGTAAGCTGATGCTTGAGACCAGCCTGGGCAACTGGGGGAGACAACTCTTTTGCAGGAAACTATAAAAGTGAAAGTTTTGGTAAAATGGAGAGAAAGAGGAAGTCCCTTTACTTGTGCTGTCCTTTTAGTTGTATTTTTACATTCCACGCATTACATCCTACTTTATGGATTCCAAGTACTGTTTATCAACTATGATATGAATAATGCTTATATGACTAAGAGCAATGCCAATGATAATAATACAGAAATGACACTGCAGTAACATCTAGATGTCTCCAGGAACTGTTGGAGAAACAGTATCTAGACAGACACCAGCATGCCTGGGCCAGAGTTCCAACTCCACCAGTCACCAGCAGTGGGAGCTCTATAAAATCTTTCCTCTTAGGTATTATTGTGTTTTCTGTTTTGATAAAGTTTAATATTGCAGGAAAGCTGAGGTAAAAGTTTCCTCAGGTCAAGTGCAGTCTTGATAATTTAGTCAGAAGATCTCTCAAAATTTAAATCAGAAGCTGGGCTTCGTGTCACACAGCTGTGATTCTTTCACTCAGGAGGCTGAGTCAACAGGGTTACTGTAACCATGAGACCACCTTGGAGAGGCACAGGAAATTCAAGGCCAGCCTGGGGTACACAAAATGTCTCGGCACAGGGATCATTTACACTTTCCCTTCTTCCTTTTAGTTTACTTCTCCCAGAACAAAACCTCATCAGCCATTATTTGGTATGGATTCCTTCTGCACTGAGTCCTACACATGGCAAAGTGACTCACATGGGTTTCAATCTGAATTTTGCAATCTTCTAATCTAGGGCTGGAGGCCTCACTGTTAGAATGGCACCCATCATAATTCACCTTGTTTTTCTTTTTTAATGCTGCTTTCCAATGGACCACATTGTCTTTTTTGAATATTTTCCAGTTGTATATGGTACCACTACCAATTTTTCAACATCTCAATACCTTTGTATATGACACTTAAAGTAAGATGATGGCCCCTGGAATTTTAATTCACAAATGACACCTTATCAACATGTCAGCATGTTATGTGTATGAAAAGTATAGTACAACAACAGGACTAATTTATTTGAATTCTAGAAAAAATTGTTTCTCCACATTTCATCATAGAAAACACTAGGCAGAATTCTGTAGCTCCCTTATAACAAGTCTTTTCTTGTTGTTGAGACAAAATACCCAGACTCACAAGTTAAGAGAGGAAAGGTTCGGAACTCACAGTTTATAGAGGTTTCAGTTCATACTAGGCTGGCTCCAGAACAGGGAGGCATTGCAGAGGGGCATCACGGACCAGAAGACAAGCAGGAGCAGCAGCAGCAGCAGCAGCAGCAAGCTTTTTTCTGTCCCTACATCTTATCCAGGTACTCACCTTTAGGGCAGGTAGCACTCATACCCTTAATCTTAACATCACATCCTTGATCCCAGAACTATGCCAAACCAACCGGTGGACCAACTTGGTAATCACATATCCTGAATCCCAACATCATATTTTACAGATCTAGTCACCTATGAAAAACACCCATCTATAGCTCCATGAGAATTTGGGGGACAGGTAGGCAGGAGACATAGCAACAAGCATCTGTGTAATGGAGCTCGATGGATCAAATTGCTGTGACTTTAACAAATCAGTCAGTGGAAGGAGCCACCTCACATCTCCACTTTCATGCACACAATGTGTCCTTGTGGTCCTAATTCCCACACAGGTGAACACGGGCCACAGAAGAATCTGCTCTGCCTGGTCAAGAGGTACATGGTTTTCATTACACATCAACAAACTGTCACCCAGTCTTATGCGTTACTCTTAGACTGGACAAGTTTAAATGGCTGATAAACACTAATCAATGGGGAAAAATCATGAAACTGCAATGCTAGGACCACTAGTTCCTCAGTAAGACAAATATCCATTTCTACTTTGTTACTGGCATCTTTTTCCTTGCTTACAGTCAAAGAGAAATACAGTGTCTCTGGGGAAAATGCTTGTGTAGTGCCCTACTATCCATTCTTGGTGACCATATAAATTACAAAATATCATGGAAAAGCTTTCATTGCAACAGATATTCAAAGTCTTAGATTCAGCAATTCAATTTCCTGGAATTTTAAAAGTTATTGTATCATATTAGCTGAGACTCGTGACACACAGTAATATATCAATGTCCAGATCAGCATGATTCCCAAAGAAGTGTGGGAATAACTCTCAAATCCTTCAATGGATAATGGATAAACAAATGTGGTATGTGTAAAATAGGGATTTTAGGCTATAAAAATCTTTTGTATTAAAATATCACTGCCAAAGTCATGAATTGCATGAAACCATTTACCTTCCATAAAGTTAAGAGGACGTCACTACTGCTAGTAAGGAGGTATCAGTATGATTACAACAAGTGTTTTTATCAGTGAAACTTTTCATAGTGCCTAAAATATTCCTATGTACTAGCAGAGAAATAAGAACTCCTTTCAAGTACGATAGAAATTAAAAACAAATGGACTCACCAAACTGTCATTTGACAAGTGTTTCTGAGCATGTTCAACTTTTCCTGCTGTTTTCTTCCTTTTCTTTGTCTGGCTCAAAATCTCCATTTCGAGACTTTGAACATTTTCTTTCAGGTGTGAACACACCAATTCAATCCTAAAATATTGATTTCAAAATAATTATTTGCACAGATCTGTTAAAAATGCATAACCTTTGAAAGACTACTCACAATTTTAAAAGTTAGAAAAAGTAGATGATTTGGTAGGTAAGATTTTTCTCATTGTGCTTGTTGACACTTTTTCTTTGGCATTATTGGGAGTGAACACAGGGCTCCACGTGGAAAGCACATGCTCTCTCCTCACTGTACTATTTCTGCTCCCCTAAATTACTCCTTTCAGGTAAATTTATCAAAGCTAGAATTTTCCCCTGGCCTAATGAAGATTTAGTACTTATATAACTGCAATATGTCTCATATTATGCTGCTGATTTCCTTTAGAGATGCTCAAATCATTTGGTTAAGCCATACCTGTCTAAGGGTTCTTCCGTTTTTTCGTCGTGTTGCACAGAGCTTGTATCTCGGTCTTGTGCTTCTGTCAACTGAAAATTAACAAAAATATTTATTAATAACCTGCCCATCCCTGGTGTTTGTTTCATAACTGTAGTGGGCACAGCTATAATGCTCCACCTCTGTATGGTTTATAGTTACCTCTGTGCTGTGTCTACACCGTTAGCTGAACTGCTGACGCAGGGATCCAATGGCCCACACCTTACAAAATAACACCCTCTCCCCACTACTTAAGTTACCGACCCCAGCTCTAGGTCTGAAACATATTATATTCCTGATTTTAGACCTGTTAGCAGGTCCTCAAACTGACAAAACTAGAAGGTTAGCACAGTGCTATGGACCTGCATTCCTGGCTGCTTGGTAAGCTGATGCTTGAGACCAGCCTGGGCAACTGGGGGAGACAACTCTTTTGCAGGAAACTATAAAAGTGAAAGTTTTGGTAAAATGGAGAGAAAGAGGAAGTCCCTTTACTTGTGCTGTCCTTTTAGTTGTATTTTTACATTCCACGCATTACATCCTACTTTATGGATTCCAAGTACTATTTATCAACTATGATATGAATAATGCTTATATGACTAAGAGCAATGCCAATGATAATAATACAGAAATGACACTGCAGTAACATCTAGATGTCTCCAGGAACTGTTGGAGAAACAGTATCTAGACAGACACCAGCATGCCTGGGCCAGAGTTCCAACTCCACCAGTCACCAGCAGTGGGAGCTCTATAAAATCTTTCCTCTTAGGTATTATTGTGTTTTCTGTTTTGATAAAGTTTAATATTGCAGGAAAGCTGAGGTAAAAGTTTCCTCAGGTCAAGTGCAGTCTTGATAATTTAGTCAGAAGATCTCTCAAAATTTAAATCAGAAGCTGGGCTTCGTGTCACACAGCTGTGATTCTGTCACTCAGGAGGCTGAGTCAACAGGGTTACTGTAACCATGAGACCACCTTGGAGAGGCACAGGAAATTCAAGGCCAGCCTGGGGTACACAAAATGTCTCGGCACAGGGGTCATTTACACTTTCCCTTCTTCCTTTTAGTTTACTTCTCCCAGAACAAAACCTCATCAGCCATTATTTGGTATGGATTCCTTCTGCACTGAGTCCTACACATGGCAAAGTGACTCACATGGGTTTCAATCTGAATTTTGCAATCTTCTAATCTAGGGCTGGAGGCCTCACTGTTAGAATGCCACCCGTCATAATTCACCTTGTTTTTCTTTTATAATGTTGCTTTCCAATGGACCACATTGTCTTTTTTGAATATTTTCCAGTTGTACATGGTACCACTACCAATTTTTCAACATCTCAATACCTTTGTATATGACACTTAAAGTAAGATGATGGCCCCTGGAATTTTAATTCACAAACGACACCTTATCAACATGTCAGCATGTTATGTGTATGAAAAGTATAGTACAACAACAGGACTAATTTATTTGAATTCTAGAAAAAATTGTTTCTCCACATTTCATCATAGAAAACACTAGGCAGAATTCTGTAGCTCCCTTATAACAAGTCTTTTCTTGTTGTTGAGACAAAATACCCAGACTCACAAGTTAAGAGAGGAAAGGTTCGGAACTCACAGTTTATAGAGGTTTCAGTTCATAGTAGGCTGGCTCCAGAACAGGGAGGCATTGCAGAGGGGCATCACGGACCAGAAGACAAGCAGGAGCAGCAGCAGCAGCAGCAGCAGCAAGCTTTTTTCTGTCCCTACATCTTATCCAGGTACTCACCTTTAGGGCAGGTAGCACTTATACCCTTAATCTTAACATCACATCCTTGATCCCAGAACTATGCCAAACCAACCGGTGGACCAACTTGGTAATCACATATCCTGAATCCCAACATCATATTCTACAGATCTAGTCACCTATGAAAAACACCCATCTATAGCTCCTTGAGAGTTTGGGGGGCAGGTAGGCAGGAGACATAGCAACAAGCATCTGTGTAATGGAGCTCGATGGATCAAATTGCTGTGACTTTAACAAATCAGTCAGTGGAAGGAGCCACCTCACATCTCCACTTCCATGCACACAATGTGTCCTTGTGGTCCTAATTCCCACACAGGAGAACACGGGCCACAGAAGAATCTGATCTGCCTGGTCAAGAGGTACATGGTTTTCATTACACATCAACAAACTGTCACCCAGTCTTATGCATTACTCTTAGACTGGACAAGTTTAAATGGCTGATAAACACTAATCAATGGGGAAAAATCATGAAACTGCAATGCTAGGACCACTAGTTCCTCAGTAAGACAAATATCCATTTCTACTTTGTTACTGGCATCTTTTTCCTTGCTTACAGTCAAAGAGAAATAAAGTGTCTCTGGGGAAAATGCTTGTGTAGTGCCCTACTATCCATTCTTGGTGACCATATAAATTACAAAATATCATGGAAAAGCTTTCATTGCAACAGATATTCAAAGTCTTAGATTCAGCAATTCAATTTCCTGGAATTTTAAAAGTTATTGTATCATATTAGCTGAGACTCGTGACACACAGTAATATATCAATGTCCAGATCAGCATGATTCCCAAAGAAGTGTGGGAATAACTCTCAAATCCTTCAATGGATAATGGATAAACAAATGTGGTATGTGTAAAATAGGGATTTTAGGCTATAAAAATCTTTTGTATTAAAATATCACTGCCAAAGTCATGAATTGCATGAAACCATTTATCTTCCATAAAGTTAAGAGGACGTCACTACTGCTAGTAAGGAGGTATCAATATGATTACAACAAGTGTTTTTATCAGTGAAACTTTTCATAGTGCCTAAAATATTCCTATGTACTAGCAGAGAAATAAGAACTCCTTTCAAGTATGATAGAAATTAAAATCAAATGGACTCACCAAACTGTCATTTGACAAGTGTTTCTGAGCATGTTCAACTTTTCCTGCTGTTTTCTTCCTTTTCTTTGTCTGGCTCAAAATCTCCATTTCGAGACTTTGAACATTTTCTTTCAGGTGTGAACACACCAATTCAATCCTAAAATATTGATTTCAAAATAATTATTTGCACAGATCTGTTAAAAATGCATAACCTTTGAAAGACTATTCACAATTTTAAAAGTTAGAAAAAGTAGATGATTTGGTAGGTAAGATTTTTCTCATTGTGCTTGTTGACACTTTTTCTTTGGCATTATTGGGAGTGAACACAGGGCTCCACGTGGAAAGCACATGCTCTCTCCTCACTGTACTATTTCTGCTCCCCTAAATTACTCCTTTCAGGTAAATTTATCAAAGCTAGAATTTTCCCCTGGCCTAATGAAGATTTAGTACTTATATAACTGCAATATGTCTCATATTATGCTGCTGATTTCCTTTAGAGATGCTCAAGTCATTTGGTTAAGCCATACCTGTCTAAGGGTTCTTCCGTTTTTTCGTCGTGTTGCACAGAGCTTTTACCTCGGTCTTGTGCTTCTGTCAACTGAAAATTAACAAAAATATTTATTAATAACCTGCCCATCCCTGGTGTTTGTTTCATAACTGTAGTGGGCACAGCTATAATGCTCCACCTCCGTATGGTTTATAGTTACCTCTGTGCTGTGTCTACACCGTTAGCTGAACTGCTGACGCAGGGATCCAATGGCCCACACCTTACAAAATAACACCCTCTCCCCACTACTTAAGTTACCGACCCCAGCTCTAGGTCTGAAACATATTATATTCCTGATTTTAGACCTGTTAGCAGGTCCTCAAACTGACAAAACTAGAAGGTTAGCACAGTGCTATGGACCTGCATTCCTGGCTGCTTGGTAAGCTGATGCTTGAGACCAGCCTGGGCAACTGGGGGAGACAACTCTTTTGCAGGAAACTATAAAAGTGAAAGTTTTGGTAAAATGGAGAGAAAGAGGAAGTCCCTTTACTTGTGCTGTCCTTTTAGTTGTATTTTTACATTCCACGCATTACATCCTACTTTATGGATTCCAAGTACTGTTTATCAACTATGATATGAATAATGCTTATATGACTAAGAGCAATGCCAATGATAATAATACAGAAATGACACTGCAGTAACATCTAGATGTCTCCAGGAACTGTTGGAGAAACAGTATCTAGACAGACACCAGCATGCCTGGGCCAGAGTTCCAACTCCACCAGTCACCAGCAGTGGGAGCTCTATAAAATCTTTCCTCTTAGGTATTATTGTGTTTTCTGTTTTGATAAAGTTTAATATTGCAGGAAAGCTGAGGTAAAAGTTTCCTCAGGTCAAGTGCAGTCTTGATAATTTAGTCAGAAGATCTCTCAAAATTTAAATCAGAAGCTGGGCTTCGTGTCACACAGCTGTGATTCTGTCACTCAGGAGGCTGAGTCAACAGGGTTACTGTAACCATGAGACCACCTTGGAGAGGCACAGGAAATTCAAGGCCAGCCTGGGGTACACAAAATGTCTCGGCACAGGGATCATTTACACTTTCCCTTCTTCCTTTTAGTTTACTTCTCCCAGAACAAAACCTCATCAGCCATTATTTGGTATGGATTCCTTCTGCACTGAGTCCTACACATGGCAAAGTGACTCACATGGGTTTCAATCTGAATTTTGCAATCTTCTAATCTAGGGCTGGAGGCCTCACTGTTAGAATGGCACCCATCATAATTCACCTTGTTTTTCTTTTTTAATGCTGCTTTCCAATGGACCACATTGTCTTTTTTGAATATTTTCCAGTTGTATATGGTACCACTACCAATTTTTCAACATCTCAATACCTTTGTATATGACACTTAAAGTAAGATGATGGCCCCTGGCATTTTAATTCACAAATGACACCTTATCAACATGTCAGCATGTTATGTGTATGAAAAGTATAGTACAACAACAGGACTAATTTATTTGAATTCTAGAAAAAATTGTTTCTCCACATTTCATCATAGAAAACACTAGGCAGAATTCTGTAGCTCCCTTATAACAAGTCTTTTCTTGTTGTTGAGACAAAATACCCAGACTCACAAGTTAAGAGAGGAAAGGTTCGGAACTCACAGTTTATAGAGGTTTCAGTTCATACTAGGCTGGCTCCAGAACAGGGAGGCATTGCAGAGGGGCATCACAGACCAGAAGACAAGCAGGAGCAGCAGCAGCAGCAGCAGCAGCAAGCTTTTTTCTGTCCCTACATCTTATCCAGGTACTCACCTTTAGGGCAGGTAGCACTCATACCCTTAATCTTAACATCACATCCTTGATCCCAGAACTATGCCAAACCAACCGGTGGACCAACTTGGTAATCACATATCCTGAATCCCAACATCATATTTTACAGATCTAGTCACCTATGAAAAACACCCATCTATAGCTCCATGAGAATTTGGGGGACAGGTAGGCAGGAGACATAGCAACAAGCATCTGTGTAATGGAGCTCGATGGATCAAATTGCTGTGACTTTAACAAATCAGTCAGTGGAAGGAGCCACCTCACATCTCCACTTTCATGCACACAATGTGTCCTTGTGGTCCTAATTCCCACACAGGTGAACACGGGCCACAGAAGAATCTGATCTGCCTGGTCAAGAGGTACATGGTTTTCATTACACATCAACAAACTGTCACCCAGTCTTATGCGTTACTCTTAGACTGGACAAGTTTAAATGGCTGATAAACACTAATCAATGGGGAAAAATCATGAAACTGCAATGCTAGGACCACTAGTTCCTCAGTAAGACAAATATCCATTTCTACTTTGTTACTGGCATCTTTTTCCTTGCTTACAGTCAAAGAGAAATACAGTGTCTCTGGGGAAAATGCTTGTGTAGTGCCCTACTATCCATTCTTGGTGACCATATAAATTACAAAATATCATGGAAAAGCTTTCATTGCAACAGATATTCAAAGTCTTAGATTCAGCAATTCAATTTCCTGGAATTTTAAAAGTTATTGTATCATATTAGCTGAGACTCGTGACACACAGTAATATATCAATGTCCAGATCAGCATGATTCCCAAAGAAGTGTGGGAATAACTCTCAAATCCTTCAATGGATAATGGATAAACAAATGTGGTATGTGTAAAATAGGGATTTTAGGCTATAAAAATCTTTTGTATTAAAATATCACTGCCAAAGTCATGAATTGCATGAAACCATTTACCTTCCATAAAGTTAAGAGGACGTCACTACTGCTAGTAAGGAGGTATCAGTATGATTACAACAAGTGTTTTTATCAGTGAAACTTTTCATAGTGCCTAAAATATTCCTATGTACTAGCAGAGAAATAAGAACTCCTTTCAAGTACGATAGAAATTAAAAACAAATGGACTCACCAAACTGTCATTTGACAAGTGTTTCTGAGCATGTTCAACTTTTCCTGCTGTTTTCTTCCTTTTCTTTGTCTGGCTCAAAATCTCCATTTCGAGACTTTGAACATTTTCTTTCAGGTGTGAACACACCAATTCAATCCTAAAATATTGATTTCAAAATAATTATTTGCACAGATCTGTTAAAAATGCATAACCTTTGAAAGACTACTCACAATTTTAAAAGTTAGAAAAAGTAGATGATTTGGTAGGTAAGATTTTTCTCATTGTGCTTGTTGACACTTTTTCTTTGGCATTATTGGGAGTGAACACAGGGCTCCACGTGGAAAGCACATGCTCTCTCCTCACTGTACTATTTCTGCTCCCCTAAATTACTCCTTTCAGGTAAATTTATCAAAGCTAGAATTTTCCCCTGGCCTAATGAAGATTTAGTACTTATATAACTGCAATATGTCTCATATTATGCTGCTGATTTCCTTTAGAGATGCTCAAATCATTTGGTTAAGCCATACCTGTCTAAGGGTTCTTCCGTTTTTTCGTCGTGTTGCACAGAGCTTGTATCTCGGTCTTGTGCTTCTGTCAACTGAAAATTAACAAAAATATTTATTAATAACCTGCCCATCCCTGGTGTTTGTTTCATAACTGTAGTGGGCACAGCTATAATGCTCCACCTCTGTATGGTTTATAGTTACCTCTGTGCTGTGTCTACACCGTTAGCTGAACTGCTGACGCAGGGATCCAATGGCCCACACCTTACAAAATAACACCCTCTCCCCACTACTTAAGTTACCGACCCCAGCTCTAGGTCTGAAACATATTATATTCCTGATTTTAGACCTGTTAGCAGGTCCTCAAACTGACAAAACTAGAAGGTTAGCACAGTGCTATGGACCTGCATTCCTGGCTGCTTGGTAAGCTGATGCTTGAGACCAGCCTGGGCAACTGGGGGAGACAACTCTTTTGCAGGAAACTATAAAAGTGAAAGTTTTGGTAAAATGGAGAGAAAGAGGAAGTCCCTTTACTTGTGCTGTCCTTTTAGTTGTATTTTTACATTCCACGCATTACATCCTACTTTATGGATTCCAAGTACTATTTATCAACTATGATATGAATAATGCTTATATGACTAAGAGCAATGCCAATGATAATAATACAGAAATGACACTGCAGTAACATCTAGATGTCTCCAGGAACTGTTGGAGAAACAGTATCTAGACAGACACCAGCATGCCTGGGCCAGAGTTCCAACTCCACCAGTCACCAGCAGTGGGAGCTCTATAAAATCTTTCCTCTTAGGTATTATTGTGTTTTCTGTTTTGATAAAGTTTAATATTGCAGGAAAGCTGAGGTAAAAGTTTCCTCAGGTCAAGTGCAGTCTTGATAATTTAGTCAGAAGATCTCTCAAAATTTAAATCAGAAGCTGGGCTTCGTGTCACACAGCTGTGATTCTGTCACTCAGGAGGCTGAGTCAACAGGGTTACTGTAACCATGAGACCACCTTGGAGAGGCACAGGAAATTCAAGGCCAGCCTGGGGTACACAAAATGTCTCGGCACAGGGGTCATTTACACTTTCCCTTCTTCCTTTTAGTTTACTTCTCCCAGAACAAAACCTCATCAGCCATTATTTGGTATGGATTCCTTCTGCACTGAGTCCTACACATGGCAAAGTGACTCACATGGGTTTCAATCTGAATTTTGCAATCTTCTAATCTAGGGCTGGAGGCCTCACTGTTAGAATGCCACCCGTCATAATTCACCTTGTTTTTCTTTTATAATGTTGCTTTCCAATGGACCACATTGTCTTTTTTGAATATTTTCCAGTTGTACATGGTACCACTACCAATTTTTCAACATCTCAATACCTTTGTATATGACACTTAAAGTAAGATGATGGCCCCTGGAATTTTAATTCACAAACGACACCTTATCAACATGTCAGCATGTTATGTGTATGAAAAGTATAGTACAACAACAGGACTAATTTATTTGAATTCTAGAAAAAATTGTTTCTCCACATTTCATCATAGAAAACACTAGGCAGAATTCTGTAGCTCCCTTATAACAAGTCTTTTCTTGTTGTTGAGACAAAATACCCAGACTCACAAGTTAAGAGAGGAAAGGTTCGGAACTCACAGTTTATAGAGGTTTCAGTTCATAGTAGGCTGGCTCCAGAACAGGGAGGCATTGCAGAGGGGCATCACGGACCAGAAGACAAGCAGGAGCAGCAGCAGCAGCAGCAGCAGCAAGCTTTTTTCTGTCCCTACATCTTATCCAGGTACTCACCTTTAGGGCAGGTAGCACTTATACCCTTAATCTTAACATCACATCCTTGATCCCAGAACTATGCCAAACCAACCGGTGGACCAACTTGGTAATCACATATCCTGAATCCCAACATCATATTCTACAGATCTAGTCACCTATGAAAAACACCCATCTATAGCTCCTTGAGAGTTTGGGGGGCAGGTAGGCAGGAGACATAGCAACAAGCATCTGTGTAATGGAGCTCGATGGATCAAATTGCTGTGACTTTAACAAATCAGTCAGTGGAAGGAGCCACCTCACATCTCCACTTCCATGCACACAATGTGTCCTTGTGGTCCTAATTCCCACACAGGAGAACACGGGCCACAGAAGAATCTGCTCTGCCTGGTCAAGAGGTACATGGTTTTCATTACACATCAACAAACTGTCACCCAGTCTTATGCATTACTCTTAGACTGGACAAGTTTAAATGGCTGATAAACACTAATCAATGGGGAAAAATCATGAAACTGCAATGCTAGGACCACTAGTTCCTCAGTAAGACAAATATCCATTTCTACTTTGTTACTGGCATCTTTTTCCTTGCTTACAGTCAAAGAGAAATAAAGTGTCTCTGGGGAAAATGCTTGTGTAGTGCCCTACTATCCATTCTTGGTGACCATATAAATTACAAAATATCATGGAAAAGCTTTCATTGCAACAGATATTCAAAGTCTTAGATTCAGCAATTCAATTTCCTGGAATTTTAAAAGTTATTGTATCATATTAGCTGAGACTCGTGACACACAGTAATATATCAATGTCCAGATCAGCATGATTCCCAAAGAAGTGTGGGAATAACTCTCAAATCCTTCAATGGATAATGGATAAACAAATGTGGTATGTGTAAAATAGGGATTTTAGGCTATAAAAATCTTTTGTATTAAAATATCACTGCCAAAGTCATGAATTGCATGAAACCATTTATCTTCCATAAAGTTAAGAGGACGTCACTACTGCTAGTAAGGAGGTATCAATATGATTACAACAAGTGTTTTTATCAGTGAAACTTTTCATAGTGCCTAAAATATTCCTATGTACTAGCAGAGAAATAAGAACTCCTTTCAAGTATGATAGAAATTAAAATCAAATGGACTCACCAAACTGTCATTTGACAAGTGTTTCTGAGCATGTTCAACTTTTCCTGCTGTTTTCTTCCTTTTCTTTGTCTGGCTCAAAATCTCCATTTCGAGACTTTGAACATTTTCTTTCAGGTGTGAACACACCAATTCAATCCTAAAATATTGATTTCAAAATAATTATTTGCACAGATCTGTTAAAAATGCATAACCTTTGAAAGACTATTCACAATTTTAAAAGTTAGAAAAAGTAGATGATTTGGTAGGTAAGATTTTTCTCATTGTGCTTGTTGACACTTTTTCTTTGGCATTATTGGGAGTGAACACAGGGCTCCACGTGGAAAGCACATGCTCTCTCCTCACTGTACTATTTCTGCTCCCCTAAATTACTCCTTTCAGGTAAATTTATCAAAGCTAGAATTTTCCCCTGGCCTAATGAAGATTTAGTACTTATATAACTGCAATATGTCTCATATTATGCTGCTGATTTCCTTTAGAGATGCTCAAGTCATTTGGTTAAGCCATACCTGTCTAAGGGTTCTTCCGTTTTTTCGTCGTGTTGCACAGAGCTTTTACCTCGGTCTTGTGCTTCTGTCAACTGAAAATTAACAAAAATATTTATTAATAACCTGCCCATCCCTGGTGTTTGTTTCATAACTGTAGTGGGCACAGCTATAATGCTCCACCTCCGTATGGTTTATAGTTACCTCTGTGCTGTGTCTACACCGTTAGCTGAACTGCTGACGCAGGGATCCAATGGCCCACACCTTACAAAATAACACCCTCTCCCCACTACTTAAGTTACCGACCCCAGCTCTAGGTCTGAAACATATTATATTCCTGATTTTAGACCTGTTAGCAGGTCCTCAAACTGACAAAACTAGAAGGTTAGCACAGTGCTATGGACCTGCATTCCTGGCTGCTTGGTAAGCTGATGCTTGAGACCAGCCTGGGCAACTGGGGGAGACAACTCTTTTGCAGGAAACTATAAAAGTGAAAGTTTTGGTAAAATGGAGAGAAAGAGGAAGTCCCTTTACTTGTGCTGTCCTTTTAGTTGTATTTTTACATTCCACGCATTACATCCTACTTTATGGATTCCAAGTACTATTTATCAACTATGATATGAATAATGCTTATATGACTAAGAGCAATGCCAATGATAATAATACAGAAATGACACTGCAGTAACATCTAGATGTCTCCAGGAACTGTTGGAGAAACAGTATCTAGACAGACACCAGCATGCCTGGGCCAGAGTTCCAACTCCACCAGTCACCAGCAGTGGGAGCTCTATAAAATCTTTCCTCTTAGGTATTATTGTGTTTTCTGTTTTGATAAAGTTTAATATTGCAGGAAAGCTGAGGTAAAAGTTTCCTCAGGTCAAGTGCAGTCTTGATAATTTAGTCAGAAGATCTCTCAAAATTTAAATCAGAAGCTGGGCTTCGTGTCACACAGCTGTGATTCTGTCACTCAGGAGGCTGAGTCAACAGGGTTACTGTAACCATGAGACCACCTTGGAGAGGCACAGGAAATTCAAGGCCAGCCTGGGTTATGCATCGAAACCCTGTCTCCAATAACCCAAAAGAAATTAATTAATCCAGGTATAGTGGCACATGTCTATAGTCCTTGCAATAGGGTTGGCTCATGTATGAGGCTAGTTCATTTGAGCCCAGGGCAACTTAGAGAGGCCCTGTTCAGAAAGAAACAAAAATGGCCCATGGATGAAGCTCTGTGGAGGACCCTGGGTTCATTCACCAGTGCCAGAACTGTCTGGAAGGTGAAGAGGAAATACTGGAGTTTTCAGAATGGCCCAGGGCTCTGTACTGGGCTGTAGTGAGAAAGGCACAGGTGAACAGGAGGAAGGAAAAAGGGAGATACTTTACTGCTCCAAGGGGCCTCCTCAGCTGACCTCAGGGGAGAGAAAGCAAAATGTGATGTTTTTGGCAGGTGGTGGACAATTGGACAGGCTTTTTGTGCAAGCTGAACTGGTCACTCATGATGAAGGTGGCAATAAATGCAGGGTATGCAGCCCAAAAGACATCCCTGCAGTCCCTTGAGACTCATCAGTTAGCTCAAGTAGTCAGTGGCACTTCATTTGTAACAACTCACAGCTTATTCTCACATAGCAGTGCCCAGTGGGCAACGATCACGCAAACAGTGCTTCCTGGGTTAAGCGGTATGTACATAACATGCCCATGAGTGGAGGCTAACCCACTGAGCTGATACTATTGGGCCCTGCTGCTAAATAAAGGTCCTCAAATCAATTCGTTTGTAGCAACTGCTAGGCCTCTTCAGAAAGCAGTCTGATGTTCAAATGAACGGTGTGGTATGGTACTTCACAAGAGCTTTTAGGTTGGTCAAATGCCTGGTCTGTGAATCCTGCGCATAGCTATGTGATGAAGGCAAAACTCCACTTTTTCATGGTAAGGAAAATATGATCAGTTGACATGAAATTCTCCATTAGATTGCGTACTTTCAATTTTGTATTTCTTAAAGTATTGTCAATGCTATTATGTCAATGTTTCAAAGAAATTATCGGTTATAGTATAATTAATTCCTTAATAGTTTTTTGAGCCACAGTCTTGCTATTTCATGCCACCTGGCCTAGCACTCATAGCACTCACCCTGTCTCAGCCTCCCAGGACTGCGATTACAGGTGAGTGCCAACATGCAAGGCTGTGAATATTAAATTGCATAAATGAAACCTAAAATTTGTTAAAGAGTGAAAGCATTTATTAAATATAGGCACGAATGGTATAAAATAAAATTTCATTAAGAAACACTTCACTAGCTTCAAAGTTAGCTAAATCATAAGAATACTCAAATTGACACTTGTGTTCATGATTAAACTCCTTTCATTTCTTTATTCAGTAAACAAACTGAGCTATTAGATGTCAACATTTATAATAAATACAGTTAGCTGTATATGTGAGGTTTTCTGAGGGTGATTTAACATTTTGTTTTCAACCCACATAATAGGGACGTGTGATGTATAAGAATGTTTTGTTCAACACTGGACTGCATGCTCAACTATGGTCCTTGAAACGATATCGCCCAGTGATGTGGGAGATGTAAGTGTGTGTGGCCACCTGCTTACATTTGGATAATAATGAAAATAACAAACCACACATGCTTTGGATCATATTCTCAATGTAAGCAATGCATGAGTAAATATGCAATCAAAGAAATACTACAATGCCAATACAACAGCAATATAAAATTTTCATCAAAGATTAATTTACCTGATTCACTTTTGAAGCTTTGAATTCCATTTCAAGTGTTGCATAAGAAATTTCAAGCTGTTGTTTTGCTTCAACTTCTTGAGAACATTTTTCCTTGAGACTTTTTCTCTTGTCCTCTTCTTTTAAGACAAGTCTGAAGTGAAACCTGTGTATTTAAAATGTATTTTTAAAGTGGATCAACAAGCCAACCCCTTCCTCTGAGTCAGTGACAGTCACAGGCCAAGGGAAGTAGAAATATGAAGCCAATGGCTTCCTGTGAGCCAGCAGTTGGGCTGGGAGATAAGAGCTGAGCTCCTCCCAACCCCTGCAAGCAACCAGCTGATCACAGACATACAGGCTGGGATAATAGCTACTGAGGCAGGAAGAAAAACAACTTAAGCCTGTAGTGTTTAGCATTTCACTTTGCAGGCCTAGCCCAGTGCTCTGAGCATTTACTTGGTGGAAAATAATATGCAGTATAGCAGCTATGGGAGAGTTCCTTCTAAAGGCGAAAGCCACTGTTAATTCCCTATTATCTTGTTTTAAAGTTCTGTATCACTTTCAGGGTTTTGTTTGGCTTGTGTTAGTTTTATTCTGTTTTACTTTGTTTCATTTTATTCTGTTTATTGACAGCTATTTCAAAGATAACAAGACATACTATTGAAGCTGATGGTGATTTCTTATTATCTTGTTTTTGAAGTCTTCCATTGCTTTCATTGTTTTGTTTCGATTGGTTTCTGTTCTGTTTTGTTTCATTTTATAATGTCTGATGGTATGGCCGGCTATTTTGAAGACAACAAGAGGCATTATGGTAGCCATTGTTGATTTCTTATGGTCTGGTTTTAAAGTTGTGTATCACTTTCACTGTTTTGTTTTGATTGGTTTTATTTATTGTTTTATTCATGTCAAAATAGAAGAAAATATAACATGCATTTTTTAGAAAATATAAAGTTCTAGCTATGATCTGGCTGTATATGTTGATTTAGTATCCTAATGAAATGCTTTCAAATATTTTTCCTTCCTATCTGTCATATTTTATATCTTTCAATTTAATCTCTTCCAAAGGGCACACCTACTTGAAGAGTGTGTGTGTGTGTGTGTGTGTGTGTGCGTGTGAAACACAATTCTGAGAGGTAACATCTTATTTTATACATCACTAAGGTAGGTGAAGATATGCCAAGTAACTTGCACATGTGCAAGTACAGACAGTAAGAATTTAAACCCAGGAATGTTCCACAGTACAGTGGATTCCCTAAATGCACAGTACTGGTCCTAGAGCACTTGCAATTGCAAAAGACTGCAAATTTCAGATATGATCATAAAAATGCTTATCAATGCCTTTTTTATAGTTTAAACTCTATAAATATGCTATGACTTCTGGAATTACGTAATTTAATAAAATATTGTATTGATGAAACCTTAGTGTGGGGCATTTTGGCAGCATCATTGGGATCTTAGGGTTTTTAAGAACACAACTGACAACAATGGAGACAGACACATGCAGTGCATCAACCTGTTACAATGCAGAGATGGGTTACAAGGCAGCAAGCACTCCAAAGCCAGAAGAACTGAGTAACGTGTGAATGCACTACTCGCAAACCTCCTGCCAGAAACTCCTTGTGGAGGATCCCTGTGGTTGCCATGAAACTGTGGGGGGCTCTGTGAAAAAATGTTAGGATCCAACTAAAAATCAGTGAAAGAGTGAGGCTGAGAACTCTGAACTGTGACATCGTGGGAGTATGCCTTATGTTATGAAATAACTACCTTTAAGCATTTAGTGTTGTTAAGTGATGTTAAGACCACATTGACATTTCCCACAGCTTCAAACACTGATGGCACAGGCATGACTATCCTGCTGGGCAGCACTGAAAGGCATGCAAGTGTGGCTCCACTGTGATTGTGTTAATCCATATCAGCATCCATTGTCAGTTATAATCACATAATTTCTGAGTTTTACAAATATTCTTAAAAATTAAAATGAATAAACATATCTTTCTCTACTGATGGTTTCTAGTGGTGTATGCATACACTCTAAAATCTTAAGAAAACAACTCTTAAATGCTGCATTCTTGCTCAGAACACCTGCTTCCCTAACTTTCCCAGTGAAAGGTGTCTGAAGTGTTGTCCGATCGTCCCCAGTAGTCAGCTTCCTGTGTGACCAGTGTTGAAACTGCTCTTTGTCAAATTCATTTGTGCTTCTCTTAGCCAATCTCTCTGCAGCAATGATGAGGCTGGGTATCCTCTTGCTTTCCCTGTAGACTACACTGTTCTGTTTTATTTCTAGAAAAGCAATTCCTGCTAACATTCCATTAAAGGAAAATAAAACATTTACAGAGGTTTTAACTTCCTCCATCTTTGACAGTGTCTTGTAATCTTTAAATACACATCACTTGTTGGAGACTAGCAAACAGGAAATGGGCCTTGTTAGACACTAAGGAAGTCACAGATTCCGTGGAGTGCTGCTGTTTATGTTTATTCTTTACTTTCCTCAAAGGCACGTTGGGTCCACTGCTTTAAAAATAAAAAGTCATTTAAGCAACTCAATTCAAAAACAAGGTTACAACTCTAGAGTATGAAATTGTTCATTTTAAGCAGTAGATGAAAAATAATTTTTAAACAAAGCATTGGGTTGAAATTAGTCCAAGCCTACGAAAGGACTGACTGGAGTTGTGGCAACCCTGTGTTGATTCAGTCAACTGTCACTGGCTTCACCCACCAAACAACCAAGCATCCAACCAAACAACCACTTAATGCTAACACTTTGCTTCCTGCAAGGCACACTAATATAGCTACAGATGGAAAATCACTTTCCTTCTGAAGTTTGGCCAGTTTTTAAATTCTACTCTTTGCAAAATCATATACAATGGTACCTGGGTTCACAAACTCAATTGTCTCCACAATCCTGATGGCAAAACAAACTGGACAAGAACTAAATCAAATCTAAACCAATTAAGATCAACACTGAACCTACCCACAGAACAAAAAAATTTTAGAGACAGCATCTTACCATGAGGTACAGGCTGGCCTAGAACTCATTTATGTAGCCAAGACAAGTCTCAAACTCACAGCAACCCTCGTGTCTCAGCATCCCAAGTCAAACTTGCTGGATTGCAGGTGTGTGCCACCATGCTCAGCTCAACCACTAACTTTTATTTGGTTCTGACTCAACTCAGTTTGCAACCAGAATCACAGAAAAAAATCAAGATCAAGAACTGAGGTAGCACTCAGGCACCTGTGTTATAACAACACCATGCCCAACCAGCATAGCTCTCTCTTTCCAGAAGAAGCAACACAGTACATTCCAATTTTGTCTTTTAATTTCAGTTTAGAAAGTTTTAGTCCTTTGGCCATATTTTTTGAAGCCTATTAAATTTAATATCTTTGTGTTTTATTTTTCTTAATAAACTACAAATGAAGCCTGCAATTCTTTTAATCCACTGTACTGTAAGTGAAACTACCCTAAAAGAATGAAGAATCACAATATTCAAAATTTCTTCCTAAATGAAAAAAATATTAATGTAGAGTAAAAACTAAAACTTTCAGAATGAATTTTCTTCCTGAACCCTTTTTTCTAGTACAGGAGGTTGAATCAAGAGTGTCCTAACACTGAGCGCTACCCCCAGTCCCTTTCTATTTTGAGGCAAGGACCTGCTCAGCTTCTTAAGCAGGATTCGCTTTTGCAATCCTTCTGCCTCAGCTTCCTAAGTCAAACTTTTGTAAGTGACAAATTAGCCTACTGTTTAAAATAATACACAAGGAGTAAACTCTACTCACACTGAGTAAATTACTGACTAGCTACTCACTGTGTGCTACACCTTTTTGTATGCACTGGTGATATTGTAGTAAATACACACAAATTCTATGGACGACAGTAAAGTATACACTCCACAACAACAAATAAGACAGGAAAAACATAAAATATGTATGAGGAAGGGAAATAAAGTAACTTTAATTTATAAATTGAATTTTGTAAGTTTTCTATATTCACTGCTGAAAAATACAGTGGAGTGCATTATCTGTAAAAATGAGACAATGATGTACACGTGGGAAACTTTAAAAGACTGGCTTAGTACATTAGCAGCAAACTAGGGTTTAGCATTAAGGTTTAGTGAATCATTGTCAGTGGAGCAATTCCAGTCTATCATCTAACTTTAAAATAAATTCTTCTTTATTGGCAGTGCTGGAGACGAATCCCAAGGCCTCTTGTGAGTTAGGCAAGCGCTCTAATACAGAACTATCCCTCAGCTCTGTAGATCAATTTTGCTGAAATGTAGCCACAGACATTCGTTTGTTGTCTACCTCAGATTCTAGATGACCACAAAAGAGATTTCATGCCATGAAGCCTAAAATATCTACTACTTGATCTTTGCAGAAAAAAGTTAATTCTTGATTTACTACTAAAAGACCCTTTGGTGACATTTTAAAGGATTTTTACCTAATATACTGAAAACTAATCAATCATGGATCCTCATGCAATCCTTTGGCAATATTCAGATGAACATGAAGGTCCAGATTATAGTACTTATATCCTGAGAAAAAGCAAAAGTCTAACAGCTACCAAATTTCTTGGTAATAAGATCTTCAGTGCAGCCTGCAACTTTCTTTGGCAACTTAGCACATATAACAAGTATTACAGCAAATTTGCTGAAGACGTATTATTAAACAATGCTTTAAAAATATTTTGTGAAATAATCACAATGAATATTATCTAAAGGCTCCATGCTATATTATTTTATGGATATAGCAATTCAATTATTTCCTTACTGCTAAGCATCTAGACTATCTCACACTTTATGAGAATGTTAATAGTTAATCCTTCAACATATGAATGTATATAGGTAACACATTTACATAATTATTACCAACCTGTTATACCAGCTTAATGCTCATATTATGTATATGAAGTATATACACTCACCAATTTTAGCCTAGAGGATATGTACATTAAATGTCTTTAATAGCTATGTACATGTGTGTGATCATGGATCTTGTATTCCTTTCCAAGAAGGATTCAGTTTCATAAGAGAAGGCATTAGATTAAAACAATGAAATCATTGAGATTTAATTAATGCTATTAAATTGTTCAAATGCACTTAATAATTTCACTTACTAACAGTACATAATGATGTCTGTTTCCTCAGACTGGCTAATTCATCCAAATGTTTAAAAAACATTTCTCAAGATAATTGGAAAAATGATATCTAAATTGTCTGTATTTTTCTGACAGTCATTCAAAGCTGAGTATCTCTAGTAAAAGCAAATAACTTCTTAATCACAAATACAGGCTCACGTTAGATTTTGCTGTACAGAACAGTAACTATTTATGGTCAAATATTTCCATAGTCTTACCTATCATGTTCTTCTTTCTTCTCAGTAGGCAACTGCTGGGTGTCAGTTTTTCCACTCTTTCTTTTTCCTTCAACCTTTAAAGAAAGTTTGATGTAAAGGAAAACTTACTTTTCACTCACTGACTTTATTAAATATTTTGTTCTTTATATCACTTGACTCAGTTCAGCTGTCATTATTTCAGTCCAGAAAGACATGTATTTTTTTCTGCAGCACTGGTGATTGAAGCCAGGACCTTCACCCTGAATTATATCCTCCACCCTTTATATTAAATTTTCTGACAGGACATCACTGGGATCATGTCACCAAGGCTGGAATCAAACATGTGATCTTCCTGCCTCAGCCTTCCAGGGTATTGGGAGTACAGGAATGTGCCACCACGCTGAGGCATAAACAATATTTTTGTGTCTACTTTATCATTACAGGTCAATGAAATTTTTGCACATTCTGCTCCATTTTTGTTTGAGTGAAAGAAACAGAACTTTCCAAATTTTGAAAAGCACTAGGTTTTATTTTCATTCACCTTGCTATCCAACATTTTCATCCCCTGTATTATTGGTAGAAATAAAAAGTCAAAGGCATAGTGGGTCTTTTGTTTAGAGAATGTGTTACTGTAGGGCTTTCTGGAACAAAAGACTCTTACAATTTCAGGATCAAGGTATTCTTTCCCTTGCCTTTCACAATTCTTTTTCCATTTGGATACTCTAACTGGGATTTCAAGACAGTTGTAGGTACTCACTGAAATATATACTTAAGCCAACACAACAAACACAGGGAATCAGAAGTAATTCAGATTAAATGATTCCTGCAAAGCTTCTCAGTGGCATTTCCTGCACCTCATGACACCAATAGAGAATACAATTGTATAATGCAGGAACGGACAGATTACCAGGTGAACTCAAAAAAATCAAGCCAATAAATTACAAGTGTGATTATTCAGAAATAAAATTTAAGAGCAGTAATAATAAATATGTGGAAATAGGTGGTCATCTTGGAATTACATAGTCCATGAGTGATTTGAGTAAAAAGGTAAATTTGCACACATGACAGTAGAAAAATGGACTCATTTGACTAGGAAGATTCACAGCAAATCTCAAACATAGATAGACTTTTAAATCTCTTCTCACTCATTGCTTCTGTTGCATTTCAACTTCTTTTATGGTGTAAACATAGCAAATGCAATTTATCACTAAAGTAATAGACAAAACTTCAGATGTTAGTTTTTGCAAGCAACTTGCTCTGTGTTTATCTTGGTTCAGGTCACAAGGTAAGGGCACTAATACTGTCCCAGGTTACATGCAACTTGGGAGACTCAGAAAAACGCTGATGAAGGAACAAGGATCACAAGAATGGTTTCCCAAATTCCCACTATTTAGATAGTAGAAATGAACTCTTTCTGGACATATTTTCATATTTAGATAACCTCATTTTATATGTGAACTCTTCACAAGTGGAAACCAGAATGTAACTAGTAAAGAGCAAAACCGACTAGCACTGTGTAAACTACTCTTCTATGTTCTGCAAGTGCTCTGCCACTGAGCTATAAGCCAGGATGGCCTTTTTATTTCTAGAGGAGATAGGGTCTTACTAAGGTGCCCAGGATGGGATTGTAATGGGAGTCCTCTTGCTTCAGCCTAAGGAGCTGTGAATACAAGTGTGTATTCCATAACCATCCATGGTTACCACAAAATTTTGCAGGGGTGAGGAGGGTATAACCCTGGGATGTATCTGTTATATACATTTTCAATGCTGAGACAGGGTTTTTCTAAGCTGTTAAGATGCTCCCTTTGGGCTCAAACTTGCTATCTTCCTGCCTTGGCTTCCCAGAGTGCTGGGTAACAGGTTTGTGCCACCAAGCAAGGTTTACTTAAATGTGCCTTTCTACAAAGCCAAGAAATCTACTTGTAACATGCCTATTTCATGCTTAAATCTTTTCTATCCTGCAAAATCAGATGGAAACTGGCAAGAAAAAAACCTAGATTCAAAGTAACAACTTTGAAAACCTCTATTTAATAAATTGTCAGACTATAGAAAAAATAGATTTCTAGGCACATATGAATGACCAAAATGGAGCTAAGAAGATAGCCCAGTAAAAAGCAATGAAATGGTGGCAGTAAATGTAAACAACCAAGTAATTCAGAAATCACTTCTAAAGCCCAAAGAAGGGAGGAAATTATAAAGGTCAGAGCAGAAAATAATGCAATAGAGACTAAGTAAACAATATGAAGAATAAATGAATAACAAAGTTGGTTCTTTGAAAGAATAAATAAAATTGACAGGCCTCTAGCCAACCTTATTAAAAGTAAGGAAAAAACTCAAATTCATGTAATAAGGAATGAAAAAGATGAAATCACAACAGACCCTGTGAAAATACAGAAAATCTCTTTTGAAAACTTCTACTCTCATAGGCTTGATTACACAGAAGAAATGGAGAGATTCCTAGAAATACATGAATTACCAAAGCTGGGTCAATAAGATGTAAAATTTCTGAATAACACAATTTCAATTAATGAAATTGAAAATGTAATTAAATCCCTACCAACAAAGAAGACCCCAGGTCTAGACAGATTCACTGTGTAATTCTACAAGAAATTCAAAGAAGATTTAATGCTGACATTCCTCAAACTCTTTGATGAAATTGAAAGGGGAATAATTCTCCCTAACTCATTCCTGGAAGCAAACATTACTCTAATACCAAAACCTTATACCAAACACCCAACCAAGAAAGAGAATTATAGGCCAATCTCCCCAATGAACATAGATGCAAAAATTCTCAATAAAATTTAGGCAAACAGAATGCACCAAATCATCAAGATTATTATACACCATGACCAAGTGGGGTTCATCCCAGGAATGCATTCCAGGAATGCAAGGAACAATGTGTATGTTCAACATACACAAATCAATAAATTTAATCCACCATATCAATAGAGCCAAAAATAAGAACCACGTGATCATTCCTACACATACAAAAAAAACTTTGATAAGGTCCAACACTTATTCATCATAAAAAAAAACCTTACAGAAAATGGGAATAGATGGTTTTTACCTCAATATGATAAAGGCTATCTATGACAAACCAACAGCCAGCATCATATTAAATGGCCAGAAAATGAAAGCCTCTACCTTAAAATTAGGCACAAGACAAGGATGTCCCTTACCACCACTCCTATTCAACACAGTACTGGAAATACTAGCCAGAGCAATTGGACAAGAGAGAGAAATAAAAGGAGTAAAGACAGGATAAGAGGAAGTTAAATTATCATTATTTGCAGGTGACATGATACTCTACACAGACAACCCCCAAACTCCATTGAAACACTCCTAGGTATAATAAATAAATTCAGTAAAGTAGATGGATACAAATTCAACACTCAAAAATCAATAGCATTCCTATACACTAACAACAAAACCACTGAAAGAAATAAGAGAAGCCATACCCTTTACAATATATATCAACAACAAAATGAAATACTTACGATCTAATCTGAAAAAAGAGACAAAAGATCTGTCCAGGGAAAACTATGATACCCTTAAAAAAGAAATTGAAGGGAATCTCAGAAAATTGAAAGACATCCCTTGTTCATGGATAGGAAGAACGAGCATTGTGAAAATGGCCATTCTCCCAAAAGTGTTATATAACTTTAATGTAATCCCAATCAAAATACCATTAGCATACCTCACAGGTCTAGAGAAATCACCCCTAAAATTCATCTGAAACCAGAAGAGACCCAGAATAGCAAAGGCAGTTCTAAGCAACAAAGGCAAGGCAGGAGGAACCACAATCCCTGACTTGAAGTTATAGTACAAAGCTACTGTAATAAAATCAGCATGGTATGGAATAAAAACAGATGTAAAGATCAATAGAATACATTAGAAGATACAATAACAAACACACTCAGCCACTTTTTCTTTGATAAGGGGGCCAAACATGTCCACTGGAAGAAAGATAGTTTCTTCAATGAATAGCGCTGGAAAAATTGGCTCTCCATAGGCCAAAAACTAAAACTAGAACCATGCCTGTCACAGTGTACTAAACTGACTAAATGCATGAAAGATCTAAAAATCTTAAGACAGAAACAGTAAGTTTGTTGGAAAACAAAGTAGGTAGAAATCTTGAATACATGGGGTAGGTACAGAATTCATGAATAAGACTCAAACTGCATGTGAAATGCTTCACAGAATCAATAACTGGGGTCACGTCCTATTAAAGAATTTTTACATGTCAAAAAAATATCCAGCATAGCCAAAAGAAAACCCACAAATTGGAAAAAAATCTTAGTGAACGGTCCCTCAGACAAAGACCTTCTGTCTAGAATATATAAAGAATTTAAAAAATCAGATGCCCAAATTCAAAGACCCATTCCAAAAATGGGCATCTGAGATGAACACACACTTCTCAGATGAAGAAATACAAGTGGCAAATAAATACATGAAAGAATTCAGCATCATTGATCATTAGAGAAATGCACATTAAAACAACACTGAGGTTTCATCTCACTCCAGAAAGAATGGCCAGGATAAACAAAACTACCAACAACAAAAGCTGGAGAGGCTGAAGGGAAAAAGGAACACTTCTGCACTGTTGGTGGGGATGTGCAACCACTATGGAGGTCAATCTGGAGATTCCTCAAAAAGCTGGGATTGGACATCCCATTTGACCCAGCTATCCCACTTGTGGGCATATTCCCAGAAGAACTGAAATCATCATGCCACAGTGATACATGTGCAGCCATGTTTATAGGCACAATTTGAAATAGTCAGATCTTGGAAAAACTTAAATGCCCATCAACTGAGGAATGGATAAAAAAGATGTGATATTTTTATACAAAGGAGTACTACTATGCTATAAAAAATGATCACATTGAGATATTTATAAGTAAATGGATGCAACTTGAGACCATACTCACAAGTGAAATAAATCAAACTCACATAGGATTGGAACAATTGTGAATATTATTGAATAGTTATCTGAGGAACTCTTGAAGATCGTTACATAAAATAACAACCCTAGTTATGCTCCTACCACCTTGTTTTGAAGGCCTATATTTTCAGTGTTCTAGGCTCTTTCTATTGTTGTCTATATGTCTTTTTTGTTTCAGGTTTTTCTAGTAATTTGTTTTGTTTTGTCTTGTTTTGCTTTTCCCTCTAATACAGAAAGGACAGGTATACATGCAGAAACTCATGCATGTGTAGAACTTCTAAAAAGTTCATGAGAGTTGATAATATAATGCATGATGAGATGAACAGCTACTCTGAAGAAATAGACACTAAGGTTACCAGTGCTGATTCCATAGCATCATGATGTGAAATTCAGCAATACTATTATTCTTTGGTCAGAGTGATTTTAGCCTGTTTTGTTTTGTTTAATTTCAACATACATGAAAGTATGGACAGCTATTTTGAAGAGAGTAAGAGACGTTATGGCAGCCATTGTTGACTTCCCTATTGTCTGGTCTTAAAGACCTAAAATGCCTTCATCATCCTGTTCTGATCAGTTCTATACGATTACGTTTTGTATGCATTCATTGTATGTGGCGATATGGACAACTATTTGGAAGAAAACAAGAGAAAAAATGATAGACAGTGAAGATCTCCAGTTGTCTTGCTTTGCAATCTGTGTCTTTTATATTGTTATCTTATGATGTTTTGTTATGTTTAATTTTACCCTCTTTTTAAAAAATCAGCAAAATAGACCCCCCACAATAAAAGACTCAGTTTTAAAAAGGGCAACTGAAATGAGTCTACTTTTCAGAAGAAATACAAGTAGTCAATAAGTACATGAAAAATTGTTGAAAATCACTGATCATTAAAGCAATCCAAATTAAAAATTAACAGTAAGACTCCAGATTATTCCAGGAAGGATGGTTATCAAGAAATCAAAAACAGCAAATGCTGGAGAGGTTGTGGGAAAAAGAGACCATTTTACATGGTTGGTGGAATGTAAACTAGAATAACCACCATGGGAATCAGTATGGGGATCCCTCAAAAACTAAAATTAGAAATTCCACTTGTTCTAATTATTTTCTTTCCAGGCATCATCCCAAAAGAGTTAAAGAAAATATATTACAGTGATACATGGTTATATGGTTTTTGATCAATTTTTCTTATACTTTTTCACATAATGAGTTCCCAAGTGTAAAGATATATCCAATCTCTCAAAATCTATAATGGTTTCTGATTCTTAAGAGACTTTTTCCAAATGTAGAAGTGGAAGATTAGTTTCCTTGGTCTGATTCTCTGATGCCTTTTCTTCAGGGGAGCATATTTTTAACATAATATTCTTCTTAAGAAACCACAAAGTTTGGAAAAAGGGAAAGTAGAAAATTAAAATTTAGCCTGTCTCATTGATGACTTAATTTACATAGCTACTTCTTCCTCAGTGGACTGCAACAAAGTGGTTGAAAAATAATCTACCTTACCTTAAAACAAAGAGAAAAACATGAACCAACACCTTCACTTTATCTGTGTGTAGACTAAACTTATGTTCTAAATTTAAAAATATGTACTAAGTGATCTTTAATATTATAAATCTGTTCCCATATAAAGATATTTTATCTTACCATTTGTTATGGCTTGGGCCTACCTGTCCCCTCAAAGACCCATGCAGTCATAGAGCTTTTTCAAGGTCACTGAATCTAGTTTGTGGTACTGGAATTAAGGGTGTGCCTGCTACATCAATTCACTGATTGGTTTGGCATCACCCTAATCCTAGTAGTCTGGATAAGATAAAAAGTGAAGACCCTATTCAGGTCTTCTGCTGCATTTGATGTCTTCTGGCAACATGCATGTTTGCCCCTCTGCCATGCAGCCCTACCTTGGGCCCAACAGATTACTGACTGAAATCTCTACAAAACATGAGCTAAATAAACCTTTCTTCATTTTACTTTGGGTGCTGGGTATTTTGCCTTATCAATGAGAAACTTAACTAAAATGTCACCCTTTAAACAGCGAATCCTTCATTAAAAAGTCCTTTGTTCTAAAGCTTACTAACTGGAGTATAGGTAGACTTTAAATTACTGAGAGACAAGGTCACCAGTCAGAGTGATTCAAATTTATACCACAAAAGTGTTGCGCATCCATGTGAACTACGTTTGTTAAATCCACTTCTAATATATTCTAATGTTTACTACACAGAGTGGATGAAGTACTTACTGATTTCTTACATTGAAGTAAGAAATTATTGTTTGTACCCTAACACCAAAGTCTCAGTTGGGAAGGTATGAGTCTCTGCAGCTGGGTTGACTTTATGACCGTTCAATGTAGGCAATGGAATTAGCTAGAGACTAGAAAGTACAATTCAATTCTTTTTTTTTTTAATTTTATTTAAGGAGAAAAAAAAAAGCAGAGAAAGGGCACAAGTTATACAGATTTATAGAAAAAAATGAACAGTAGGAAATCACTAGTTAATGGATTACATATTGTCATCTTAGAAATAATTGTTCAAGTGACAAAATTAAAGCTTGTAAAGTGGACATTCCATCAATGATACTGCAAACAGTTCTGTTCAATGATCCAATAAAACTCTGTGATATCATTTTCTATCTTATACACTTAAATATACATGCAGTTATATAGTTTAGAGCACTTTCTTTTCCTCTCTTTTGTACAATGACTATTACACATTTTGGGTTTCATTGCTCCCACGGTTCTTATTACTTTTTTGGAAGAGAGTAAAACCAAATGTGACATAGCAGAACAGAATCGGTCAAGTCAAAAGGGTGGACATAATAGATAATGTGAAAACATAATACAAGGTGATCAACAATGGTTACCATAATGCCTCCCGCTATCTCTAATAGAATTGCCTATATCGTTAGTTATAATACAATTGAACAAAACAGTAAAGAATAAAACCGACAAAACCAAAACATTGGAGACATTGGGGGTCTTCAAAAGTAGATAAAAGAGAATGGGCGTTATAATGAATCTCATTATCTTCACAGCTGATGCCTAAACTTTTGAACCTGACACTATCCAGCAAAACAGAATAGGGGAGCATCAGTTAAAAACCAGATGGTGAGAGTAATACAGGGCTTTAAATTGAGGTAATGGAAAGTCAAAGTGGGTTACTATAATATATCCTGCTATTTTTTTCCTTTAATTAAAAGGATAAAAATAAAAAAGTAAATAATGGAGTGGAGATTGAGATAAAAGAGGGCATAACAATGAAACAGCGCAGATCAAAACATAACCATTTAAGCAGAATAGTGTTTCACCACCAGATAATCCTGACCTAAAAGTAGTTACCATATTGTCTCTTTCCTTTCTAACAGGACTCAGGACTACATTGCTGAGGCTCTGGGAATGATCACCATTTGTTGTGCATCCAACAGTGGTCATCACTGTTCCACTGGCCCTAACATGAGCTGCTTAACAAAAGGGCTTGAACCTGGACTCCCTTTCTTCGTCATTTAAGAACATTGCACACATGGAAGCACTTTTGCCTTAAATCTAAAACTTAGACATAAGTTACTATAGATTCTAAGAATAACTTGTTTATAACTGGTTAAAAGTTTTTTCTTTTGGAGGGGGTCTCAGGAATCAAACTCAGGGGTATATGCAGGCTGGCATTTGTGTCACTGAGCCACGTCCTTGGCATGACTGAAATATTTTCAAAAGTAAATATTAAATCATAAACTACTGATTCTAAAATGTGAGTCAGAAAAGTCATTTCATTTGGCTTATACTATATTATTAAAGAAAACAAAACAATGTTAAACTAGGCATATAAATTTACATTTTTACTTACCTGGTCCTGGCTGTTTTCACTGTCATCACGTCTTCTCAAATCTTCCTTTAATGTCACTTCTATGTTCAGTTCTTCTGAAAAATTTATATATTTATGTAAAATAAACTACTTAGAACAGATAAAAAGTGAGTTTTTATGAAATAGAAAAACTAATACAAATTTATTTTTATTTTCCAGTTAAGAATTAAATAATTGAATTAATCCTAATTTTTGGATATTTACATAGAAATACTTGTAATTATCCCCAAATTAACAAATTATTTGGAAAGATATTAGATATCACTATATTGAAGATATAGGGACCTCTTAGAGCTTCATCATGAATTTACTCCCTAAGCATAGATGGAAGTCAGAAATATTTCAAATACAACAGAAACATATAAATCCACTCTATGCATTATTCTCCCACACATCTTGGCTACTTTTAAACAGCTCAGCATGTTATTATTAAAGGTCTGTAAATTACTATTACCTTTACATGTTTATCAGTGAACACCCTTTTCTTTATGTCTGCAATGTCTTCATCCACTCTTCTGGCAACATTTTAAAAAATCTTTTAAGACTCAGTTTATAATGTGAATTATTTCTTGATTATGTTTACCTTCTCCACATAAAACAACTGCTTCTTTCTTTGGGGCTCCCTTTCATCAATGTTTCCACTGTATCTTTACCACACAAACAACAAACTTACTTCCTTATTAAACTTTTTGATCCTGTATTGCATGGGACAATCTTTTAAATCTTCTTTGTATACAAGTCTTCCTTCATCTTACTCAAAAACTATTTATGGAATTCTTGCTAAGTGCTAAGCACTGGGGTTTAGAGAGCATAAATAAAAGGTATCGGGAATGGCTTTTCTAGAGGTAATGATGAGCTTAGAATTAGAGTGAGGTTAGCCAGACACAAGGCAGGGAATTGTGGGAGTATGAAAGGTAGTAGCAAGAGAAAAAAATATTAAATGGGAATGATACTGATCTAAAAATAGAGGAATCACAATGGAAAATATCACTAGCTGTTTAGGAATGCCTGAGATCAATGAGGGCAGACAGATGAGAAGGCTGAACATACAGAAGTAGAAGTCAGATCATGCAAGCCTAAAGGTAACTTTGAGATGTTTGCGCATCAGTGCTTTGAACAGTGGCTCATGGTCACATCTGTTCCAGAGATCAATCACTCTCAATAGTCAGGAGGATGAATATGATGGCCAAATGAATAAAGGGAGGGAGATGAATTCATAGAAGGAACCAGTGTCAAGTAAAGCTGATGCAGGCCTAAACCTCTTAAACAGTCCATAAATTCTATTTCCAGAAATATTCAGATATGAAATCATGAGTACCCGTTATAGAATGAATTTTTATTAAATAAATAAATGTATACAACTGCGTCCTTGGAGAACAACACTCTACTAATTATTTTTCAAAAGATATCATTTCACAAAAGAGTTGTGAAATGAACTACTTAGATTTCTTTAACTTGCTTGAGTCTACTCTGTAATTCTTACTTCACCTGTTGCGATGTGGAGGGAACACATTTAGTGTTTTGTGTAAAATGCCCTGCTTCTTGAGGTTACCACGTACATCAACACATAAGAGAAGGGCTGAAGGTGAATTTCAGAGGTAGAGTATGTGCTTAGCATGTGCAGGGATCTGAATTTATTTGAGATTAGTCTCCAGCGAAAAGGTTGGGGAGAGGAAGGCAAGGAGAGCAGGAGATGCAAAGAAGTCACATCTGTGGGGAAATAATTTTGGGTTTATAGCCTATACCCATTAATTTAGGAGATAACTAGTAGTCTATAAGATATGGTAAGGACATATACATTATGTTTCAAGATTTCTTATCAATGTAATCACATGATTAAGGGCACTAATTTAGCTGCTACATAAAGTAGAATACATATCAGGTGACACCAATGAATAGATTGTCCTACTAATTGAATTTAGTGATTTAATTTTTTAGAATGGTAAAGCAAAGAATGGAAGTTAATGTTTATTCACAGGAAAATGCAAGATATGAGATTCCACATAGTGCTAAGAAACCCTTCAGAGGATAACCTTCATATAATATTTACAGTTTGCAACTGTTCAAGTATAGTTTCATTGTAAAAAGTGCTACAAACACAAATCACATTTTAAAAAAGAGTTCTCAGTAGAGAAGCAGACAAACTTGTGCCAAACATAGGACACAAGAAAAATTGATGCGTCCCTCAGCTGCATGCGTAGAAGATAAAGGTACCAGGAGCCAAATCCTAAATCCGGAAAGTGCAGCCTTCAGAGGTAGTTTCTGGCACAACATTTTGATCTTGCTCTACATACTTCTCAATCAAGTTTAATGAGACCTTATTCACAGACTCATTCTCACGGTCTCGTAGACCTTCAAGCTTGCCAAACGCCCGTATTCTTTGATCATTACACTAAGCTGCTCAGTTTTGCCTAGATTCTAGCAGCCTGAAAAATATTTGAAATGGCATCCAGAAGAACAAAAATAATTTTCCTATCTTTTGCAGTTATCAATGGTTCTATTTTACTAGACTGCACAAAGTATAAACCTGGCCAACTGCCCCATGGTTCATGTAGTTGGTCACGGCCCACACAGCTTTCTTCTGAGTCATAAAGTCTGCATTAGGACACTGACAAGGAAAGGGACTAATCCATGATGGACAACTTGCTGTATCTGGTCCTGTTGGCCAACTGTGATGTTTGACTCTGTCCATGTAGCTTCCTTTTGAAGATTAGTTTTGGGGTGAATGAGCAGGCTGGGAAAAGCAGCAGATGATCCTGCATCTCTCACAATCTGAGTCTCTTCTTTTCCAGTGACATTATTCCCTATGGCTAGTAGCACGGGAGGCAGAACGGACAATTCACTTGATCCTAGAAGTTTCAGCAGATGGTGCACAACTCCTGTTTTTACAACTACTTCAGTGTGTTCATTTGGACCACTGGTAAGGTAAGAAATAAGATCACCGTCTACAGGAGATGAACCAAGAGAGAAAGAATTTGCTCAACAGTATCTAACAGCTATGCAGGATTCTCATTGCAGCAAAGGTATGAAAGTGTCCAGATAAGATTATGTAACCACCTTCTAATGATGACATACAAGGAACTTCAAGAAGAGCCAACAGTGGTTCAATTGTACCATGTTAGGTAACCAAGACTTGGAAAACTGAACCATCACCTGCAATATTTCAAGAGCACAGACAGACAGGTCACTGATGTGAGCATGGGGAAATGCCAAGACAGAAAAGAATGCTGAGGTAACACCTCCATCCAGAACATCCTTGGTCTGTCCTGATGATCCAGAAGTAATATTAGTGAGTTCCCATGCAGACTCAAACTGAGTGAGACGACAGTCAGTCCTGCCCAAGCAGGACACAAATTGTAGAATCAAACAGGCCCAGATTATGTGATCTATGGGAGGCTGTTTTCCTGAGAAAGCAGCTGCCTGGCAGCTTGAGTAGTGGGAGCTCACTTTCCAGATTATAGCTTTTCATATCTTTGTGCAGCTATAAACATAGGTGCACATATATCACTGTGGTATGATGCTTTCAGCTCTGGTAATATGCCTAGAAGTGGAATAGCTGGAACATATGGGACTTCCAATCCCAGCTTTCTGAGAAATCTCCACACTCACCTCCACAAAGGTTATACCAGTCTACACTTCCACCAACATACACAGAGCATCTTGATGGACCCTATCTCCTGATCTACTCTGCCTGTGTTTCTTTTTGTTAGTGAATCAAGGCCATCTATGTTAGAGATTATAGCCAACCTTCTCTGCCTCATTTCTGCTATGCTATTTTTCTGCTATTGGTTGTCTACTTTTCTCCTTCATTCCATTGTCTGCCCCATTCATTGAGGCCTCTCTGCCACTGTTCCTGAAATCCTGGGGTTTTTTTCTCCCTCTCTAGAATGTCCTTCAGTATTTTTTGTAGGTTTGGATTGATGATCACAAACTCTCCCAGTTCCTCTTTGTCATGGAAGCATCTTGTTTCTCCATTAATTTTGAGAGACAGTTTTGTAGGCAATATCAGTCTGGGTTGGAGATTATTTTCTTTCAAGGCTTGGAATAGTTCACTCCAAGCTATTTTTGATTTGATGGTTTGTGTCAAGAAGTCTGTCATGATTTTGACGGGTTTTCCTTTAGAGGTGATCGTTTCTTTTCTCTGACAGCTTTCAATGTTCGGTACTTGTGAGGAATTTCTGGGATCTTGATTATGATATGTCTGTGTGTAACTCTATTTTGGTTGTAGATTGCTGGAGTTCTGCATGCCTCATACATCTGAATATCATTTCCTTTTCCTATGCTTGGGAAGTTTTTCTTAATTATTTATTTGAATAGTCTGTATTTGCTTTGTGTTTACCCCTGCTTCTTCATTCACATTTTTTATTCTTTTTTTTAAATTTTTTAAAAATTTTATTTAGGGAGAAAAAAAAGCAGAGAAAGGGTACAAGTTATACAGATTTATAGAAAAAAATAAATAGTAGGAAATCACTAGTTAATAGATTACATATTGTCATCTTAGAAATAATTGTTCAAGTCACAAAATTAAAGCTTGTAAAGTGGACATTCCAACAGTGAGACTGCAAACAGTTCTGTTCAATGATCCAACAAAACTTAGTGATATCATTATCTATCTTATACCTTTAAATATACATGCAGTTATATCGTTTAGAGCACTTTCTTTTCCTCTCTTTTGTACAATGACAATTACACATTTTGGGTTTTGTTGCTCCCACAGTTCTTATTACTTTTTTTTGGAACGGAGTAGAACCAAATGTGACATAACAGAACAGAGTCAATCAAATCAAAAGGGTGGACATAATAGATAATGTAAAAGCATAATACAAGGTGATCGACAATGGTTACCATAATGTCTCCCACTATCTCTAGTAGAATTGCCTATATCATCAGTTATAATAAAATTGAACAAAACAGTAAAGAACAAAACCGACAGAACCAAAACATTGGAGACATTATAGGTGTTCAAAAGTAGATAATAATCAATGAGAATGGGTGTCATAATGAATCTCACTATCTTCACAGCTGTTGCCTAAACTTTCGAACCTGGTACTATCAA